TTTTATGAGTTGATGTATGTCTTCCCGTCCCTTCCACACACAGAGTACGCAAAACTGTTAGATTTAGTTTTTTGTTTCTAACATTTAGTCTAAATGACGATTTTACCCTTTAACACTAGTCAGATGGCATGCCTCCAGGTCTTTTAGTTTATGAGAAAAGTCATTTAAAGGTTTTAACAAATCTGACCACTGTGACCTTGAATATAGGTGAAGTTCATTTCTTTTGTAGGGCTTCATTCTAGGAACATACCAGCAAATACGATGCTTCTAGTCCTTGAATGTTTTAACGCGTTTGACCGCTGTGACCTTGAATATAGGTCAAGATAATTAATTTTCCCAAACTCTGCCAAGTTTATTGGTTCATATTTCTGAATACTTCCCAGATGTTTCAGTTAAATTCCAACTGCAGATATAGTGAATGTTTTTAAAATAAAATACTTTTAACCATACTGGACAATGACAATCATATCTTGGAATTTACGCTTGATTTGGGTCATCTCTGGAGCTATGCAGAAAATATCACTGACAGCCATGAAGATGAAGGTACATATGACTCTGTATTGGTGATCTTAATTCCAGTTTCAGAATGAACATATATAAAATGGTAAGAATATTAAGCCAATATACCAGAGTCTGTATAGTCCAAATACTGTAAATGTACAGCAGTGTACTGAAGTTTTCACAATGTTAAGGTTTATTTTTCACTTTCTTTACAATTTTGTGGGTGTGACTATACCTCAAATAACTATTTTATTAAACCTTGAGGGAGCCTGAAAAATTATATTCCGCGAAAATATGAATGTTTACAGTAAACCATGTCTGCCTTGGTCAGAGGGGATATGAAGACAATGATAAAAAACCACCAATATAGAGTTTAAACAGTATTTAATAAAATCTAGATAAAATAAATTATTCAGAAGGCACATACATACAGCACTGTAATCTAGGTGTGGTTTTATAGTTTTAACATTCTACTATTTGAGTTTGATAAAAATCCTAGATTAAAGCATGACTATACTATTTACATAATACAAGGTTCAGATGATATTTCATATTACATGTAATCAAGTATGGATATTACAAAAAATACATGTCCACTCCTAATGGCTATGTAAATATTAAATTTATGAAAAAAAATCAATAAAAAAACTCATACACTTAAAGATACAATACATCTAAACAATGATACCTTAATCATAGTTTGAAAACTTAATTTTATCACAGTTAATACTTCATAAATAAAGTTAAAGATTGAATATCAATTTGATTTTAAAATAACTTCAAAAAGAAATTCCATTCAGCAGTAAATACAAAACTTGGCCAGTATAGTCTCAGCAGTATCATTACATTTCAGCAGTATTCTCTCAACAGTATGTTATGTTGTCAGTTGTATATTGTTGGTCATATCCTATCAGTAGTATATCATACTATGTCATCAGAAGACATCTTCCAACACTGTCATATTCAGTCAGTAGAATAATACCTGGATCAGTTTAACATAAACTTCTGTCACTTGTGTCTCCTGTTCTGGCAATAACATGCTGCAGAACAGCATATAAACAGTATGACATGTTGGCATTTTCATCCTGTAAGTCATAACCTATCAGCAGTGTGCCATATCAATCTACCTTATATCATATCCTAGCTGTCATCAGTATGCCGTATCCTGTTAGCAGTATGTCATATCCTGTTAGCAGTATGTCACATTCTGTTTGCAATGAGTCATATTTTAGCAGCAAATCATATTCAGTCAGCAGTATGCCATCCCTTGTCAGCAGTACATTGTCTCAAGTCAGCAGTATGTCATCTCTTGTCAGCAGTATGCCATCTCTTGTCAGCAGTATGTCATATCCTGTTAGCAACATATCATACCATGTCAACAGTAAATCATATACTGTTAGTAGCATACAAATTCTGTAGGCATATCATATTCTGTTAGAAGTATGTCACTATTAAGAGTCGGTTAGCAGTATGTCAAATCCTGTTAGCTGTATGTTAAATCCTGTTAGCAGTATACTATATCCAATTAGTAGCATGTCAACAATATAATTTCCTGTTTGCAGTATGTCAAATCCTGAAAGCAGGATGTCCTGTTGGCAATATGTCTTTTTACTATAAAAAGCATACTGTAATAATGAATAACAAGCATCATGTGATCATTAGAGACAGAAGTCATCGTAACATAACAAAGTGTACATTTGTTGCCAGGTGTATATATAACAAAACTAATATAAATGATTGTTCAAGACAAAAAGTATCAAAACGAAAACATAAGGTTCATTACAAAAGGCACAAGGGCAACAAACCAGGGAGATAAACATGTTATTATATCAGTGTTTCAAACAATTCACTGGAGCAGACTTTGGACGGAGTCAAGGTAAATAAAAACATAGTCTAAAAGTACATAAAAGGTTATATCAATACAAACAAACATTCCATTGGTTAGAATTGCACTATATTGGATTCAGGGATGTCAATATAAAAACACCTATAACAACAAAGACAGATATAAACTAAAGCTAAACAATGGAATTACATTCATTTTGATTTCTTGAAACAATTTCACTTTGTTAGCCTAATACCATATCATAGGAACAACTCGAAAATATAGGAATTCTTACATATCACATCTAATAAATGCATTTCTATCTACACACGTAAATATCAAGGGGTCAAATGTAAATCATCATTCACCTCCTCGTCTGTTACCTGTAACGAGCTTCTGTGAGGAACATCTAGGAAAAATTACACAAGAAACACTTTGTCTAAAACACACAAATCTTACATCTACTTATAGTCATGATCATCTATCAAGACAGAGGAAACATCAGTTTGAATAGTACAACTTCACATAAGATAAAATCAAAAGAGGCACAAGAGACCTGCATTGCTCACCTGATATTTTCTAATCAGTGAAGAAAAAACATATCTGTATTGTAAAAACTGGTAACTTTTATGTCTGTTCTATGCCTTTAACTTTTCAGTAGGTTAAATGGCATGTCACACAGGGGATTTTTGGTTATCCAGAAGGAATAGTTTGAATATTTTACACAGTACAACTAATCCCAGTCACATTTGAATTGTTTCATTTGAGAAACTAATATATAAAAACTTTTCATTCAAAACATGCTTCTGGTCAAATATCATGACAATGCAGCTGTTAACATAAATTTGATCACATTTGCCCATTTGACCTGAAATGTTTGTCAAGGTCATTCATTACCTTAATGGTAATATGCTGAGACATGGGATGTTTGGTTATTGCTAAGTATTATTTTTGAAGATTTCAAACATTTTGACACCTAAGACCTTGACAGTGGGTCAGATTCCAAAATGTTAGCACACTTGAAAGCTTCTTCATCCCTGCTGGCCATAATGGCCAAATATCTAAAAGGAATAAGCTGGTCCCTGATGGATGGATAAATCAAACCATGATGGATGAATGGATGACAGAAGCCACACCACAACATCACTTACCTTCAGGCAAGGAAGTAAAAAGTTACTAAAAAGCATATTTCTTTAATATTTACTCTTTAACCACAGTTCATCTGAATTCATAAGTTCCTCACATAATGATTTGACTAGCTGTATTGTCCAAATATAGAAATCAACACACCAGTTAATAACCTGCTTTCCTTACATAAACACTAAACCTAAGATACTTGTGTCAGCTTACACGGTAAGCAAATATTCAAATTCAATCTCCCTCAAATTGGTGGGAATATGCTCATTTATGTGACTATTTAACACAAATAACTATTCTGAAGACATTAAGATTCTTTACAGCCACAACTTAAATATCAAACATACACCACTCCAACAGACTGGAACAATAATTTGATATTTGTCTATATACCAGACAAAATAATCAACCTGTTTAAGTGTACCCTGCTCGTTGATGTAAACAGATAAAAATGCATTCTAGACAGATAAATAACATGTGATGAAATAATCACTAACTCCCTTTAGGACCTAGATTAGTTTTTGTACAACTAATTCTATAATTGAGATTCCTATAATATCAATATACCATATCATACATGACCGACGACTTTTACATATAACTATGTAAAGGGTGGTAATCCAATATGGCGAACACAGAACTCGGGAATGATAACCCCAAGAATGACATGTTCCTGCGTATAATGTGCACCCCCTTTTTGACACGACGGTTTTAGCTTGAAAAAGTGTGCACTATACGCGAAAATTTACGGTATTATTAGATGAAGATCAAATATTTTCGTCTTGCAAGAGGATATTCAAAATCTATAAACAGCCCCACTCTACACAATGTGACTACAGTTTACTAGCATTTATTTTCTTGATGTATCCCCTGTGTATGATATTAACAAGGTAAAAACAATGTGTGATACCTTTTCAAGGTGTATTGTTTATAAGAACACAATGTGTGAGGTCAATGCAAATTTGATGCATTGTCCAATCAATAGGTTTGACATAAAAGCAATGTGAACTTAAATACCGGGCTGACTTTTCTAGGGTGAATATAAATATCAGAAAATATCTGTTATTACTTTCAGACATCATTTGAATTAACAAAATTTAATCCCTGTAAGTATGAACTAGCCCAAACTTGAACAACAACAGAAATGTTAGCCCAACAAAATTAAACAACTATACAGTATATTTGGAAATGTTCAAGGTAGTCCAACTTTCAATCTTATGCCAAAATAATGAAAATGAAGCATAGGCTACAGTCCGATACTGAGGTTTGAATATGTTTCAAGCATTCAGGTTCAATTCCTAACTGGGTGAAATAATCTAATTTCCCTGACTGCCAAAAAGACCTGGATAAAAGTTTCCCAGTGTACAGTAAACCATTTGCTTTGAAAATGTCACCCCAAGTACTTTATAATATATAATAAACAGAGATTAACTGATTTGTTGAAACTCAACTTGGCTAATGAAGCGATTGTAAGACAGGTGATTGTCACAAAAGCCATTAAACCCTATCACATCCTCCTAGAGACTAATCCTAATTGTTAGATGTTGACTTTTCCCTCCTTAGCGTCAGATTCAACAATGGTTTTGTTTGAAGGTGTCTTTTTCAGAATACGTCGATTTCTCTCCTCCAGAATCTTTTTCCTTTGTTTCATCTTCTGTGCTTCCCTCAGTTTCTGTAACTCTTCTCTCTCTTTCTCCTGTAAACACCAAGTAACATAAAGTCAACACTGGATTGCGGAATATACAACAATATCACATACTATGTATGACTATTACAGGTAATTACTGAAACATTTAACAAGTTTTACAGCTTTCAACACAATACCAACAAAAGGTTAAATTTCTATCCTTCCATTGTCATTTTTCTACAATATTTACATGTAGAAATTAACATGGGTATGTATATATCTAACACCAAAATAGGACATTAAGCATAGCAATTATACAGAAAATAAAGGTGGGGATAAATATTACACTCACCGACTGGTGCCAGCGTATGACAAGTGCCCGGTCATTTTTGGTAGGCTGGGAATACTTGGTTTGCATTACCTTCCTCTGTTCTGTAGTCACACTCTGTTCTATCACCAGCAAAATCTTGGCCCACTGTGATAGATATAATCTTTCATTTTTAAACATTATCCTATGTACCTTACAGAGTGTATCAATGTACAAAACCTTGACAGACTTACAAAGGTTGTACCATAACATAATTTACATGACCTTGACAGTGACCCATCAAGTTTCTGTTTGAATGAATCCACAATATTCATCTGGAAATAAGCATGTGCTTGGTAATAAGCCCATACACTTTTAACACCAAGTCATCATGTTATATATTTTGTATCAGGAAGATTTTCCTATAAATATATTTGTGACAAAGTCTTTCTAACAGTACATGTGTATCATCCTGTTGATAATATTCAGTGTCCCCATTATTGGAACCCACCTGTCTGAACCACTCCTTCTGTGTTTCGTTGACAAGTTGATAAGTGTTACCCATCATGGCAATCAGCATGTTTACAAGCAGTAGCGTGACCATGATCATGTACACAAAGAACACAATCTGTAACCAGTCAAATGATTATCAGGGAATACAACAAACATGGCAATTGTGTCTTTATAGAAAACTCTTCAAAAACCATTTATACTGAAATCAGCATATGTTCTAATGAATCCTACCATCTGGGATTTCTTCAGTATCAAAAACATTTATACTGTAATCAGCATATGTTCTAATGAATCCTACCATCTGGGATTTCTTCAGTATCAAAAACCATTTATACTGAAATCAGCATATGTTCTAATGAATCCTACCATCTGGGATTTCTTCAGTATCAAAAACATTTATACTGTAATCAGCATATGTTCTAATGAATCCTACCATCTGGGATTTCTTCAGTATCAAAAACCATTTATACTGAAATCAGCATATGTTCTAATGAATCCTACCATCTGGGATTTCTTCAGTATCAAAAACCATTTATACTGAAATCAGCATATGTTCTAATGAATCCTACCATCTGGGATTTCTTCAGTATCAAAAACCATTTATACTGAAATCAGCATATGTTCTAATGAATCCTACCATCTGGGATTTCTTCAGTATCAAAAACCATTTATACTGAAATCAGCATATGTTCTAATGAATCCTACCATCTGGGATTTCTTCAGTATCAAAAACCATTTATACTGAAATCAGCATATGTTCTAATGAATCCTACCATCTGGGATTTCTTCAGTATCAAAAACCATTTATACTGAAATCAGCATATGTTCTAATGAATCCTACCATCTGGGATTTCTTCAGTATCAAAAACCATTTATACTGAAATCAGCATATGTTCTAATGAATCCTACCATCTGGGATTTCTTCAGTATCAAAAACCATTTATACTGAAATCAGCATATGTTCTAATGAATCCTACCATCTGGGATTTCTTCAGTATCAAAAACCATTTATACTGAAATCAGCATATGTTCTAATGAATCCTACCATCTGGGATTTCTTCAGTATCAAAAACCATTTATACTGAAATCAGCATATGTTCTAATGAATCCTACCATCTGGGATTTCTTCAGTATCAAAAACCATTTATACTGAAATCAGCATATGTTCTAATGAATCCTACCATCTGGGATTTCTTCAGTATCAAAAACCATTTATACTGAAATCAGCATATGTTCTAATGAATCCTACCATCTGGGATTTCTTCAGTATCAAAAAACATTTATACTGAAATCAGCATATGTTCTAATGAATCCTACCATCTGGGATTTCTTCAGTATCAAAAACCATTTATACTGAAATCAGCATATGTTCTAATGAATCCTACCATCTGGGATTTCTTCAGTATCAAAAACCATTTATACTGAAATCAGCATATGTTCTAATGAATCCTACCATCTGGGATTTCTTCAGTATCAAAAACCATTTATACTGAAATCAGCATATGTTCTAATGAATCCTACCATCTGGGATTTCTTCAGTATCAAAAACCATTTATACTGAAATCAGCATATGTTCTAATGAATCCTACCATCTGGGATTTCTTCAGTATCAAAAACCATTTATACTGAAATCAGCATATGTTCTAATGAATCCTACCATCTGGGATTTCTTCAGTATATCTCTTTTATTCACAGCAGCAGCATTTACAATAAGCACTGATTTAATGCATCTTCCTCTACTGGACATGGTAAATGCAAAGAGAATACATATATGTATATCTAATGAATTAAACTACCTTGGCTTAGATTTCATTCAATACAACGTAAATTCTGTCAGATATTTACTTCACTTGAGATAAAAATAATTTTTTGGACAAATTCTCTGCCACAAATTAACACAAAATTGTAAAACTTGACTGAGTAGACAATATGCCACCACTTCATTAGAGCCCTTTATTCAAGGTGGTATTAAAATCTGGTCTCCATTTCTAACTCCACTTTTTCACCATCAGTAACATTTCTAGATATCATAGTAACGTTACAGTAATCTATAGAAAATATAACATTTTCTTTGTAAATATCCATCATATATTTCATTGGCATAAATTAGATGTGCTAAAACATCATCAGAAACATTTCACCAAAGACAGTGGATGAATCCTGTTCCTCTTTACAAATGATAACATTAGGGACTGTGACAAGTTAGAGTGATATTTTATATCATCAGGGATCCAGGAATAAAGTCAATAGCCGTTAGTCAGGAAGGTGTAAATGTTACATACAGAATTGTTGTTAAGGGTTGGGGTCAATACAAGGTCACATCTCCATCATAGTATACAAACCAATATGTACAAAATTAAAGCTGATAATTGAAAAAAGGACATAAGTATTAGACATATAAACCAGAGAATGAATTTCACCTGTAATGCACAGCTGGAATTTTCTTACAAAAATGTAGACATGTGATTTTTAGTAAGAAAAGACTTATCAAAACATCAAAACGTATACATGTAACTAAAATAATTTAGCTCACAACACAAAAACTATCAACAATGTTCTACAGTGGACTATTATCATACTTTGTGCTGACAACAATATAATAATCACACATTAAATATAATATATATGTATAATGAAAATAGCAAGCAAGCAACAAAACCTACAGTTGTAAGATCATTTTTGATACATTTCATATTGATTTTGATATTATTCTTTCCTACAAACTCAGGATTCAAATCCTCTGAAAAAACTTCCTGGCTGACAACGGGATGAGATACCTTACAGAACATAGTACACAAATGTTTTAAATTCCAGTAATTTTATCAGGATATACAGAACACTGAAAGTTTATACGCTGTTCAGATAGATTTATCTTATTGATGTGTTGATTCTAGCAAGAGTTTTGTCCTGAGTCCTATCCAATATCTTAATTACTGTTCATGAATTTTATAAAGTATTCATGAATAAAAGTCTAAATAAATCTCAGGCCAGATGTTGGATAGCGGACCTCCTGCCAGGACTGTAATATTTCAAATGGTAGCAACCATCTTCACCAAATAAATGTTCTATAATTTAGTTACAGGGCACTTTTTTCAATTACAAATTTAAATGTTAACTTATTTTCCTGTGATATAACTACGTTTGAACAATGTATTTCTGGCAAAACATATGATTTGAGGAGCATGGTGTAGCATACATTGTGATGTGAAATTACTTTGTAGACTTACTTTAAGAAGGTCTGGGTATTTGGAGGAACTGAAAGTGTCGTACACATCGTCAAAGTCTCCGACAGTGATGGTAAACAGGCCTAGCATCGACTCAATAGGGTGATTGAACACACATGCATTTTGACTAGGATCACAATTGTTATCATTAAAGGCGATGTAGAATGCTGCAAACAGGAGAAGAGAGGGTGTGGTGCTAGGGAATCACCATGTTAGGGTATGTTAAACACTTGTCTAGATAGACACCTCAGTCTCAACATCAGGACATGGTAGTAACCATATAAACTCCAGGCTATAGCCCTATTACCATTGTGTTTTAGCTTCATTTTCTTCCAAATGGTCTGTTTAAAAACCCAAGGAGTCATTATCAGTATTTTCAAGTAAACACTCTGATACCAATTTCAATACTGAGTCTGAAGGGTTGTGAAGCGATAACTGTGTCCTGCCGATGACTTACAACAAAAAAAGCCCTGGTGATATTTCATCACATGTAGTGTGATCCAATCAAAATGCAAAAATAAAAAAAGGAAATCCCAACTAACTCTATATAACACCATATACCCTGGAAACCTAACCCCATAACAACAACAAAATTTTCTAGACCTGATAACATCACAGCCTGTAGTTTTTATCTACAACTTAAAGCATATTCAGACTACCAGCCCCTTTTTCTTCATCTTCCTTATGAAAGTGGAACATCCCGAATCCTTACATGAGGTAGAAGTGAAACTGTAACTATGACAGCTAAGGTGATTCTGGTGACACTATAAAGAGACAGTTGCTATAGTGACATGGTGATTCCCCAGGAACACTCATACAAACACAATGTTATAATGTGTCTAGGACTCAAACAAATCAGACAATCACAATATATTCAGCAACATCTATGTACAAGAAAACTAAAAGAAAATCAAAACATCAGTTTAATATACTCTCACTCAAATGGAAGCTAAAAAGCGAAATGACAAAAGCAACATGAAATTGTAAAACATTTCAAAATTGAAAATAACGTTCCATTCTATGGATTCCTATCAACATTTAGGGGCTTCTCCCTATTTAAAGATCACTAGTGCTAAATTGATGCAGTCATCTACTAATAAAAAAAGCAAATTTTATACACAGTATTAGCCGTGTAAAAAGACATAGGACACTGACAAAGGTACTTATTACATACACAATTATATATAGCCTTTAGTGAAAATATTTTTATTGTAATTCTTTCATATTAGGGTTGAATTTGAAACTTCTGTTTAAACTTAATAGAAACAGGCATCATCATAGAGAGCATGGATACTGTGACAATTCACCATCAAAATGTCCGTCTCACTTGACAACACTGTCAATAATGAATACGTTATTTCAGTTTGAATAATGTTATAATTGGCATAACATTGCAATTATGGTAGGGAATGTAAATAACAGTAATGAAGTGTCTTCTGATGGCATTTACGGTTGATATAAATGAAAATAATTTTGGTAAAGCTATATGATGTTTACCTAAGAGCTCTGTCATTTATAGGGACCCTTGACACAATATCGAAAGTTCAATGCTCAATTGCTCATAATTTAACCATTATCACATAGTATAACAATGGGATTAATATAGATTTTCTTAGTCATGACTAAATATATATGATTACACATACTTTCAGTTCCAAACCAACTGTTCCTAAACATTTATAAATATGTCTTTAAAACTGGGACCTTCTGGTTTGTCTGAAGTGATTAGAGCATATGGTCACAAGGCCTTGTCTGTTATTGAAAGTTGGATTATAGTTAGATGGACAAGGGGTTATTTGCAGACCTGAAAATCAGGAAGGGAACGAACATAGGGGTATATCAAATATTGACCAACTTCCAAATTACCTTTCAACATCTGAGTTATGTAAACAACAGGTGACAACACAAATACAGTGAGGTTAGGAAAGTTTTGTCTCCAAGTACAACATCAGAATCCATCATTATGATGAAGAACTGAGCAGTTTTTTCATTATTTAAAATAAAAACTAATTTTAAAGTAGAAAGTTTCATATATGCCTCTTGTGAATGTTTGACGAGTTTATCATCCTACGAACAGTTGGGGATATTTTGAGGCAGGGTCTCATTGTAGTAGCTGGTTTACTACCTTACACAACTGCATACGGGAGGCATGTCCCATGCCATTTAGCACAATTAGAGTAAAATGTCAGCACTGACACTGGTTTGTTTCTCATCTACCTGAGAAATAAAAACCACCACAGGTAGGAAACCCTGGATATATAAGATTTGCTGACATCACCAGTAATTAAAAAAGAAAAATTACATCAAAAGTTCCTGCACATGCCATATTCTTCCTCAGTAATTGAAGACAAAACTCTCCTAAACAGAACAAAGTGTACATGCAAAATAACATCCTGACAATTAGGGAGACAACAATTAAAACAGAAGAGTGCCATCAACATGAGCTAAAAGAAAAGGTTACAGAAACAACAGCGAGCAGATAGGAAGCTCTGGTTCTCACTTTTCCTAGTGTGGCGTAGTTTGTGTTATCAAATGATTCATAATAATCGCCAAATTCTCCAAGAGACATCATGAACATGCCCATAACTGCCTCTGTAGGGTCACTGAAAGGTGTGTCCGGAATACCACGGAACACAATATACATTGCTGAAAAACAATGGTATGTAATTACATATTATATTCACTGAAAACAAAAATTCATCATACTATGTCATCATACCATATCACTTAACTGATTTTCTTATATGAATGAAAAATCATTCACATGATTCAAAAAAGTATGTAACACAGTTTCCAAATTAAAGAGTCATTTCAGTGTAAAACACTGATAATTGAAAATGGTATTATGATTGTGCTGTTGATGATTGTATATATTTTAAACATTATTACTTATTTACAGAGAATCTGTATGTGAAAGGAACCTACATTGTGAGAATCCAATGATAAAAACAGCATAAATGATGAAGAACCGGAACAGATCTCCCTTGATCATCTTGTAAATCATCACAACAAAGGGACCAAAGATTGGGAAACCTCTGCAATAAGAAACAAGGAACAATACACATCTCTGTTTCCATAATATTTATTGTTATTAAAATCTATTTAAATCAGAGTGTACAAGTAAACCACACAAACATTTATAGAGATAATCAACAAAATGCACAAAGCATATAAAACTGGTCCCATGTATAGATTTTTATATATGGTTTTGTAAATCATTTCATATTTGAGGGTGTATAAATCAGTATAGATCATGCCTGTTTAAGCCACATTATCTCAGTGAGTATTGATCTTTCATCATTATGTGACTTCAATAATGCCTGTATAATGTATGTAATCCCTTATGACCTTTACTATTACCAGACTTTCTACCTGAAGTTAGTTGCAATATCAGGTCTGCATTATTAACAAACCATTCATTTTCACTTTAACAGATGGGTTCTTTTTTTATCTATAGAGCAAAAATCTTATTAAAAACTTTTTATGAAAGTGACTCTGTGACCTGGACCTTTCAACATTTTGATCCAACATTTTAACAGGTATTTCTCTTGTTTTGGTGGTTAGCATTACAACTTTTATTTAGTAATATTAAAAATATTTTCAGCTCTTCACTTCACCAATTACTTTAATAAACTAACAAAATATCGGAGTGCAATTCACATTTAACATATCACAAGATGAAAAAGCAAAACAACAAACACAATAACGGATGTAAAAATGAAATTACCACACAAAGACCTTGATGTCTATAGGCATAACACAAGTAGTCTGAATACCACAATACTGACAGATCCGTATTTTAACTTACCTGCAGAAAAATAAGAAGTAAGGAGCAGTGAACAGAATGGCCATCACACCCACTACATCTTCGTAGATATATGCACATGCTGCACGCCCCGGCAACATCATGATGACAAACATACAAGACATCAGGAACATGGCCTTTGTAGGGGCTCCTTTCTGTTGGTAAAGAGTGTCTGTGGTACATTATATAATTACAACAATTTTGAAATTAAACTTTGTTTTGTAATATCTGCGAAACAAGTTATTCTATTCTATCACTCATCAGCCCAGATGAAAGAACACAAGACACCTACGTGGAAGGGGAGTTAGTTACTACTGCATCACCTGATCCCCCCTCCCCAACAATAACAACCCCCCTCCCCTCCCGACTTACAGCAATATACCAATGTTTCGAGAATTGTTTGTACATTTGCTTCCACTCAGAAATGCCTCAGTGAACATAATTTGGGAGGCCTGCCACCTGATGTCCATAGCAATTGGGATATTGTACATTCTTAATGGAAACAACAATGATAGCATGGGATAAAACCAAAAACCTCGGATTTTTACGCGGTCATGAAGGCCAACATTACACCAACTGAGCTTTTGCAACCCCTGCTTTAAAAAAATATATGAATTACTTCTAACTATGAATGAATAAAATTTATGGGTGCTGATGTTTAGTCTATATATCTACACAAACCAGATTTTTTATCCTGTCGCTTGTTATATGAAGCTATATGTAGAGCAACTTATGGATCTTGTGAGGATTCAGCCCATCTATTTAAAGTCATGGTAATGCATTTAGAGTCATACCAGTGTTGTAAAGAAGAGCCGGAAGCCTTGGTGATAGATTTCCTTCATGGCAATCAGCAGATACCAGATGGACCCCACCAGAACAAGGGCCTCCAGAGTGAATCGAACCTGTAATATTATATAAAGATTATGTGAATCTTCATCTTTAAAGGAATCCATCGTAGTTAACAAAATACTATACCACATGTCTGGTAATTATTCTAACAATGAAATATCACGGGATGTGTCTTAGACATAGGGCTCTGCAATAAATCAACACATCATATTGTAAAACAAACTGTCATTTCACTCCCAGTAAACCTATAACTACCAGGATTCACAAATGGAACATTACCACAAGTTAACTAACAACAACCTCGGCAGATGATCAAGCTTCATAGCTAAGGACAGTGAATCAAAATAGGTCATGATGTTACATCAGCAGTAAGTACGTTCTGTCAAGGGAGAGGAATTATACATGTATTTGGATCACATGAAAGTAGATTCTTAAATCCAGCCGTGTTTAAATTCTTGGCTTTTATATTAAATATATTGCACACTTTTGACCGAATACTTTCTTCAAGATCAAATTAAGGATTTTCCAAACCAAGAAATCCTAGTGGCATTATGATACACATCAACCTTTGATAGACATATACTTACTATGTCCTCTGTGCTACAAACTTTCAGCAGGTAACAAGGGTCCTTTTCTACTGTAGTAACATTGTCTGTTCCTGTTACGTTAACAGTTCTAGATGGGCACATGTCATCTCCCGGTCGCAGGAGGAACACCACAAGGAAGAGGATGAAGTAGACAGTAAAGATAGCAAACCTCCGATAGAACCTGATGAAACATGGAAGATATTCGGTTATATCCATCAGAAAATGATATCATTTATTCTACAGTCACATATATATATATGATAACATATCAACTTCACAGTATTAGTATCACCATCATTTCTTCTGACTTTTATTATCTAACTTAAATCAAAAACTTAAAGAAAGTAAGATGACACTTCTTAACTATTTTGAAATATTTGATATAGAAATGACAAAGACAAATATTATAAACTTTAAATCATTCCCGTTTAATTTTAACTTCAATCAATAGCAGGAAAAAAGATTTTATTTGTACATACCTAAACCGTACAAATGTCTTCCATTTCTCTTTCAGCAAATTGACAACAACACCATCCATCATATCCAGATGGCCTTCTACTTCCTGTTTACAAAAAAGAATTAAGCAAACCTTCTATGTACAAATCATGGATGTTAGAAAACCCACAAGCCTGAAAGTTTATGCTGAAGAGTAATTATATATAAATAGTCATTACTGTATTCATCCTGGAATCCCAGGAGCCTAAATACAAATTCTCTAACTCAAAGTTTGGGTGTGTGCTTATTACAGGATATTGACCTGTTATATCTGTCAACAGTCTGCTTTAAGCTCAAAATTTCTTGTTTTATACTCTAAAGATCCTCATTATTTGTTTTTAATTCTAATGTAAAGATAGGCTTTTTACCAGATCACTATGGCAATACAGTGGACTCTCCATAATCCGGAAGTTCATAGTCTAGAACACTCCCAATCTGGATGGAAGTGTTCTGGAACAGATTTTTGTAATGTTATTTGTGCTCATCAGTCCGAAAAATTGAATTCCTGCTCAAAAAATACATTTTGTGAATGGAATAGTCCTTTTCCTAGTAATAATCCCTCGATAATTGTGTCACAAGTGTACACTTGATTTATTGCGCTACACTATATATAGTCCTAACAATTGCTGCCAGTTCATCACCTCACTTGTGTAGTTCATATCAGTATACAGTATGCACTTGTTACAGTGGCACATTTTAACTACAGTGTATGCATTGCCAATCATTTTCCCTCTGTTCTTATCATAATTTCACAGGGACATGGATAAGTCATTGAATAGTTATAAAAAGTTTAGAATTGGACTACTGACAGTAAGTTAAGGAAAACAAGGACTGTCTGTGTGTAGAACATCAATACTTTTGAGAATTAGTTGAAGTGTCCTGTATGTTATATTACCAAGGGAGGTAATTCTGTTTTCTTGGCAAATAGACTAAATTTGGCAGTCCTGAAAACTTGCAATCTGGATGATTTTGGCCAAGAACAAAGGTGTACAGATTATGGAGGGTCCACTGTACTAACATGAATCAGTTTAGTGACTACTTTATTTCTCTGAATTGTCAATATATATATTGCCTAGTGTTGATTATCAAGGAAAGGCCTTTCCAGACTTGTTAACAAAAAGCAGAGTAATTGATACATACCACTTTGGTTCCCAGTCTCAAAAACATCCAACTGAATTATGATGTATCCCTATTTATCTATTTATTTCTTACATCCATTATTACAGCCATTCAGGGGAACCATTATTCCTAGTAGCGAAGGACTCTTTATATATATAAATAGACTCACCCCATACACAACAAGATTAAGGGCAGACTTCTCGTTGATCTCTCCTGTGCTTGAAATGGTGTCTATATCACGCAAGGGATAGCCAGCACAAGTCACATTTCCGTAAATCCAACACACCTCACGCATCTTTTCCAAGATGTGTTCATACATCTGTAAATGTATCATGAATCTAGGATTTAGTTAAATATACCTTGTCAGAATCATTAATCATCTTTCTGGATTTTTTTTTCTATGAATTAAACCCTCAACATAAGGTGGAATTTAACAGTCATTTACATGCAGATACTTGAAGTATCACTACCAAAGCAGCTGTCATAATGCCTCCCAAACTGGAAGGTACTACCAAAGCAGCTGTCATAATGCCTCCCAAACTGGAAGGTACTACCAAAGCAGCTGTCATAATGCCTCCCAAACTGGAAGGTACTACCAAAGCAGCTGTCATAATGCCTCCCAAACTGGAAGGTACTACCAAAGCAGCTGTCATAATGCCTCCCAAACTGGAAGGTACTACCAAAGCAGCTGTCATAATGTCTTCCAAACTGGAAGATACTACCAAAGCAGCTGTCATAATGCCTCCCAAACTGGAAGGTACTACCAAAGCAGCTGTCATAATGCCTCCCAAACTGGAAGGTACTACCAAAGCAGCTGTCATAATGCCTCCCAAACTGGAAGGTACTACCAAAGCAGCTGTCATAATGCCTCCCAAACTGGAAGGTACTACCAAAGCAGCTGTCATAATGCCTCCCAAACTGGAAGGTACTACCAAAGCAGCTGTCATAATGCCTCCCAAACTGGAAGGTACTACCAAAGCAGCTGTCATAATGCCTCCCAAACTGGAAGGTACTACCAAAGCAGCTGTCATAATGCCTCCCAAACTGGAAGGTACTACCAAAGCAGCTGTCATAATGCCTCCCAAACTGGAAGGTACTACCAAAGCAGCTGTCATAACCAAAGCAGCTGTCATAATGCCTCCCAAACTGGAAGGTACTACCAAAGCAGCTGTCATAATGCCTCCCAAACTGGAAGGTACTACCAAAGCAGCTGTCATAATGCCTCCCAAACTGGAAGGTACTACCAAAGCAGCTGTCATAATGCCTCCCAAACTGGAAGGTACTACCAAAGCAGCTGTCATAATGCCTCCCAAACTGGAAGGTACTACCAAAGCAGCTGTCATAATGCCTCCCAAACTGGAAGGTACTACCAAAGCAGCTGTCATAATGCCTCCCAAACTGGAAGGTACTACCAAAGCAGCTGTCATAATGCCTCCCAAACTGGAAGGTACTACCAAAGCAGCATAATGCCTCCCAAACTGGAAGGTACTACCAAAGCAGCTGTGCCTCCCAAACTGGAAGGTACTACCAAAGCAGCTGTCATAATGCCTCCCAAACTGGAAGGTACTACCAAAGCAGCTGTCAAAATGCCTCCCAAACTGGAAGGTACTACCAAAGCAGCTGTCATAATGCCTCCCAAACTGGAAGGTACTACCAAAGCAGCTGTCATAATGCCTCCCAAACTGGAAGGTACTACCAAAGCAGCTGTCATAATGCCTCCCAAACTGGAAGGTACTACCAAAGCAGCTGTCATAATGCCTCCCAAACTGGAAGGTACTACCAAAGCAGCTGTCATAATGCCTCCCAAACTGGAAGGTACTACCAAAGCAGCTGTCATAATGCCTCCCAAACTGGAAGGTACTACCAAAGCAGCTGTCATAATGCCTCCCAAACTGGAAGGTACTACCAAAGCAGCTGTCATAATGCCTCCCAAACTGGAAGGTACTACCAAAGCAGCTGTCATAATGCCTCCCAAACTGGAAGGTACTACCAAAGCAGCTGTCATAATGCCTCCCAAACTGGAAGGTACTACCAAAGCAGCTGTCATAATGCCTCCCAAACTGGAAGGTACTACCAAAGCAGCTGTCATAATGCCTCCCAAACTGGAAGGTACTACCAAAGCAGCTGTCATAATGCCTCCCAAACTGGAAGGTACTACCAAAGCAGCTGTCATAATGCCTCCCAAACTGGAAGGTACTACCAAAGCAGCTGTCATAATGCCTCCCAAACTGGAAGGTACTACCAAAGCAGCTGTCATAATGCCTACCAAACTGGAAGGTACTACCAAAGCAGCTGTCATAATGCCTCCCAAACTGGAAGGTACTACCAAAGCAGCTGTCATAATGCCTCCCAAACTGGAAGGTACTACCAAAGCAGCTGTCATAATGCCTCCCAAACTGGAAGGTACTACCAAAGCAGCTGTCATAATGCCTCCCAAACTGGAAGGTACTACCAAAGCAGCTGTCATAATGCCTCCCAAACTGGAAGGTACTACCAAAGCAGCTGTCATAATGCCTCCCAAACTGGAAGGTACTACCAAAGCAGCTGTCATAATGCCTCCCAAACTGGAAACTACCAAAGCAGCTGTCATAATGCCTCCCAAACTGGAAGGTACTACCAAAGCAGCTGTCATAATGCCTCCCAAACTGGAAGGTACTACCAAAGCAGCTGTCATAATGCCTCCCAAACTGGAAGGTACTACCAAAGCAGCTGTCATAATGCCTCATAATGCCTCCCAAACTGGAAGGTACTACCAAAGCAGCTGTCATAATGTCTTCCAAACTGGAAGGTACTACCAAAGCAGCTGTCATAATGCCTCCCAAACTGGAAGGTACTACCAAAGCAGCTGTCATAATGCCTCCCAAACTACTACCAAAAGCTGTCATAATGCCTCCCAAAGTACTACCAAAGCAGCTGTCATAATGCCTCCCAAACTGGAAGGTACTACCAAAGCAGCTGTCATAATGCCTCCCAAACTGGAAGGTACTACCAAAGCAGCTGTCATAATGCCTCCCAAACTGGAAGGTACTACCAAAGCAGCTGTCATAATGCCTCCCAAACTGGAAGGTACTACCAAAGCAGCTGTCATAATGCCTCCCAAACTGGAAGGTACTACCAAAGCAGCTGTCATAATGCCTCCCAAACTGGAAGGTACTACCAAAGCAGCTGTCATAATGCCTCCCAAACTGGAAGGTACTACCAAAGCAGCTGTCATAATGCCTCCCAAACTGGAAGGTACTACCAAAGCAGCTGTCATAATGCCTCCCAAACTGGAAGGTACTACCAAAGCAGCTGTCATAATGCCTCCCAACCTGGAAGGTACTACCAAAGCAGCTGTCATAATGCCTCCCAAACTGGAAGGTACTACCAAAGCAGCTGTCATAATGCCTCCCAAACTGGAAGGTACTACCAAAGCAGCTGTCATAATGCCTCCCAAACTGGAAGGTACTACCAAAGCAGCTGTCATAATGCCTCCCAAACTGTAAGGTACTACCAAAGCAGCTGTCATAATGCCTCCCAAACTGGAAGGTACTACCAAAGCAGCTGTCATAATGCCTCCCAAACTGGAAGGTACTACCAAAGCAGCTGTCATAATGCCTCCCAAACTGGAAGGTACTACCAAAGCAGCTGTCATAATGCCTCCCAAACTGGAAGGTACTACCAAAGCAGCTGTCATAATGCCTCCCAAACTGGAAGGTACTACCAAAGCAGCTGTCATAATGCCTCCCAAACTGGAAGGTACTACCAAAGCAGCTGTCATAATGCCTCCCAAACTGGAAGGTACTACCAAAGCAGCATAATGCCTCCCAAACTGGAAGGTACTACCAAAGCAGCTCCCAAACTGGAAGGTACTACCAAGCAGCTGTCATAATGCCTCCCAAACTGGAAGGTACTACCAAAGCAGCTGTCATAATGCCTCCCAAACTGGAAGGTACTACCAAAGCAGCTGTCATAATGCCTCCCAAACTGGAAGGTACTACCAAAGCAGCTGTCATAATGCCTCCCAAACTGGAAGGTACTACCAAAGCAGCTGTCATAATGCCTCCCAAACTGGAAGGTACTACCAAAGCAGCTGTCATAATGCCTCCCAAACTGGAAGGTACTACCAAAGCAGCTGTCATAATGCCTCCCAAACTGGAAGGTACTACCAAAGCAGCTGTCATAATGCCTCCCAAACTGGAAGGTACTACCAAAGCAGCTGTCATAATGCCTCCCAAACTGGAAGGTACTACCAAAGCAGCTGTCATAATGCCTCCCAAACTGGAAGGTACTACCAAAGCAGCTGTCATAATGCCTCCCAAACTGGAAGGTACTACCAAAGCAGCTGTCATAATGCCTCCCAAACTGGAAGGTACTACCAAAGCAGCTGTCATAATGCCTCCCAAACTGGAAGGTACTACCCATAACTGGAAGGCCTCCCAAACTGGAAGGTACTACCAAAGCAGCTGTCATAATGCCTCCCAAACTGGAAGGTACTACCAAAGCAGCTGTCATAATGCCTCCCAAACTGGAAGGTACTACCAAAGCAGCTGTCATAATGCCTCCCAAACTGGAAGGTACTACCAAAGCAGCTGTCATAATGCCTCCCAAACTGGAAGGTACTACCAAAGCAGCTGTCATAATGCCTCCCAAACTGGAAGGTACTACCAAAGCAGCTGTCATAATGCCTCCCAAACTGGAAGGTACTACCAAAGCAGCTGTCATAATGCCTCCCAAACTGGAAGGTACTACCAAAGCAGCTGTCATAATGCCTCCCAAACTGGAAGGATATTGAATAGTAATAGTGTCTGAAGAATTCAGAATGGCAGAATCCATTTTGAAAACTCTTGCCTTTGTTTAGATTTCTGTTTGCTTTGTAGCAATGCCATTACAAATTTGATACTTTTTTGTTTTTTTTCTGGGGACTTAAAAAATGATATTATACTGTATATTTAAAAAGAAGGATCTGTTTAAAACATTTAGTGTTGGGAATTTCTGGTTGGAGTCCAGACATAATACTTATACTCACATCTTTCCGAGCCAGTTTTGCAGCCAGTGTAAGGGGAGTTAACCCTTGACGGTTCTTGATATCAAGTTCTGCCCCAAGATCTCTTAACAGGTCAAACATTTCCTAAGAAATCAATTGAAATGAATTATGTTTGCTGTAATGTGAATCACAGTTTATAACATTAAAACAGATCATACATTGGTCTGACACTGAAGATGGTTACAAAATGTAAGTGCTTGTCTATAACCTATTAACATTTTCTAAAGCAAAGCAGCCCATATAACCTCTATATCTTTATAGCTATATACAGTTTTTGCTCATACATTGTTATATACACATTAACTGAATATATATATACACAGGTATACATTTCATTGCAATATTGCCCTTGTTATTAATACAACAAATATTAGCCTTTAATTATAGATACTTCAATCAATATGATATTAAACCTTACTGTAACAAATTAAAAAAAAAACAATTTTCATGACATAAATAAATGGATATATTATTGATGTTTAATCCTTTTAATGTAGGTTTTTTTAATAGATTTGCAAGTGTCATAAATAGATCAATAAATTAATATATTAGTTATTTTAGTCCTTAGTAGGCCTAGCTTATATCTTTTCTTTACTGGACACATTGCAGATACCTGAACATTTTAAATATTAGCATTCAATTACTATCTGGAATTTATCAAGCCCTTTTTACATAGATATATATCATGATACTTAACCTGAGTAAGATAAACAAAGAGGCCCATGACTGAAATATTGGTATTACCAAGTTAAACAAACTTTCCTTCACAATGCTGTACCAATATGTGTGTACAAGAAGCTAAGTGAAGACAAAGGAAATTTGAAACTAAATGTGCTATTTTTGCTCCGAAGCATAAAAAGTGAGTGCATCTCTAAGCTGTGAATGTCATATCAATGCATTCTTATTTCCAAAGTTCAAAATTTCTTGACAATAGCTTTAAAGTTTATTAGATAACAGAAATGAATATCAAAAAGCTTGGTATGTCAATTTTAGGTCGCTTTCCAGTGTTTATACTTCATTACCTTGTGTGCATGCACAAAATCAGCACTTTATATTGATAACTGCACTAAAATCAGTATGAAAAGATAGCTGATGAAGGAAAATGAAGTAAGTTAATTACATCTGTCTAGTTTATAGTTTCTAATTCAGAGTATGTATAGTTATGAACCCAAGGAGTGAAATTCTAAACTTCAATTAGTTGTATTAGACAAATAACTTAGTGTAAGTACATTGTTTTATTTGTGACCCTAGATGCATATGAAATGTGAAATATGTCAAATGAAATGATTAATAGTAAAACTTTGTTACTTAATTTAGAGTGAAGTAGAATGAAAGTACTATAATTGAATAACAACTCTACCAAAGACTACAATCAATACTGTATGTAAAGTCAGTTCTCAAAAAAAAGTACTAAAAGTACTACCAATTAGATTTCTATCGATTACAAAATTCTCTAAAATAACCAACATCTATCTATATTAGGTGTCAGAAGTTATAGCATTATCACATTTGATTTCTGGAAAAGATCAGAATTGACAAGTACATGATATATTGTTACAGTTGATGCATACAGTACATTTACAGATAATGAATATATACACACTTCACTCACACACAACAGCTAGGTACAGGTTTCAGCATTCATGTAACAGTTATTAAGCAAATGCATTATCACATCACAATACCAGCAATGTGTATATTGAGAATGTTACCAAATTCTTATAACCCACATGGCCAGCTCCAATCAATATAAAACTCATGGTAATTCAATAAATAGAAAATAAGGAAAATTATCTCCCTTTGTTGAACTTTACTGACTGCATTTCTTTAAAGTCACTATCTAGTTCTAAAGTTGATAAAACAGAAAGAAAAACTGCAGCTTACTGACAATTACTCTTTAAATATAAAGCATACTATCCCAGAATGGTGTGAATTCATCAATTGTCAAACTAACTCCTCATAAATTCACTAAACTACATGGTATAAAAAGACTTCATGACCCTATTGTTATTGGCCTTGTTTCTGAACACATATTTCAACACCTCACATAACAAAATGCAACCTAACACTTTGCCAGCTTTATAATGTAATTGCATTCCATTAAACTAGTGAAAAACTTGTGAACAGTCACTCTTAATACCTATAAATTCTCTTGTCAACTTGCTTCATCCAAATTTAGTCAACATTTTTGTAGCAGGATGATGAGACTTAATATGTGATGCTTCAAAATACAGTTTGGATGATAAAGTTGCTCCTCAGTTCAGGAGAAGATGTCACACAACTATTTTACTTAATGGCATGTTACCTTCATCAAGTGACTTGCATCTAGTATTTTACATACAACACAATCAGGTGAAGTTTTTGAAGAAACAATTGGGCATTCTGTCAGAATGTTGCAGACAAGGCAGCATTAACTGTGATCTTGACACTTTGACCTTTGACCATGTCATTTGACCGCTTTCATTAAAACTGGTTTAGCTATTTTTGATAAAGTTTCAAATTCAGGCAATGTATCCTATGTTGAAAGCACATGCAAGTGTCCCCTCCTTCCTCATCCATCTCCTCTCAATTATGAAATCAATCACACAAAGCAAAACAAATATGGCAAAAATCACTACATAGCTTTCCTTACTGACAAATTACATGTAACACCAACATTTATCTTACAAACAAGGACAACAATTAATGGTCAGGTCAAGGTGCACTGTACAGGTTGTTAATTAAGACATAAGGATGCGTGCAAGTGGATTAAAAACATTAAAACATGTTAATAATGAACCAACATACACCAGAGAAAGGGTGAAGGTGCAAACCTTTTTGGAGGCATACTGTTGGGTGGTGATTTAAACGCAGCATGAATGGAACATGAAATACAACATTTGACTGTTAGTTATTACATACAACAACATCAGGTTAGTTGTTTACCAACAATTGTCCAAACTTTGTAACCTTTATATTACACTAGGCCTGCCTGTAGCTTTGGTGATTTTATTAAATTGAGAAGGTTATACTGTATAAATTAAGCGAATTCTAATTCAGTGAATTATTAACGATTTTCCCGAGCACTGAACAGATAGGACTATACCATTTTCCATAGAATGCAATACAGTATAATCATTCTTTTTGATTCATTTTGTGTATAAATATACAACTTTGACCAGAATTATAAAATTTAGCTTTATGTAACAGTGGACTATTAATTCTTTATCCACAAAATAGAATATCCATTAAATATTGTAATCATTGAAATAGTGTTAGGAAAAAACAGTGTTGATTACACATTCCAATAAAACAAATACTGTCAAATCCTTTTTGTTCTTACATAAGTCCAACAGGAAACAGTTCCTTATAGAGTGATATAAAATTGAGAAAACCGTGTTTGGACAAGAGTTAGGTAGACTGTACAAATGCATGGTAAAACAATGTCATCCATAATTAATATTAAGATATCAGATATATTAAATACATTAATGTGTCCATCTTTTAAAACAAACATCTTAATTAATTTATTAAACAAACTGATTACAAAACACAGTACTCAAAATTAAAAACAAACAAGTTTATTATATCAGGTGGTAGGTAACTGTTAAAATTAAACAGAAAGCATTGTCACATGTTAACATATCTAAAAGTAGTTTGTATAGACTGTCTTTTCTTAAATTACCTTTCAGTTTACAAAACACAAAGAAACAATTGAACACAAACATTTTAGCCTAAGATGCTGCAGAGCGAACATGTTTCTGAACATAGCTAGCTCAACTATATATGTGCATCCTTATTAGTTACAATTTACCTCCAAGGTCACGATATGTACATGATAGTTGATAAAAAATTCCCAAAGAATATTTCATTAAGTTGATTTAGCTGTTGAAATTTGGCTTATTACATTTAAATTAAAATATCAGTAAACATAAATGACTGCCAACACTACCAGTGTTTTTAACATAAAGCAGTATTTGACACCAAACAAGCATCAGGTAGCATCCATATCAGTGATGCCAGGAATAGGAAGGTGACATGGTTCCACTACAAAATACTGGATAATATTTTAGGGTGCATCAGAGATAGAGATCATGAGTCTGTGAATTTGATCCGGGATTGATGAGACATACAAAAGTCAGAGAAAAGATGTAGGAGATTGTGTAGTATGTAATTATAGTGCTGACAGCTGTTCATAGATGTATGCATATGCTATACAAGAAATATTTGATGTATTGGTATAAACAAGTGACAACCTTAAGGTTCCTAAAATGTTAGGTGCATTTATGAGGTCAATTTGTAAAATATGTGAATTTAACATAACTAGAGGTACAAGAATAACAGTTTTTCCATTTACACCTTGTAATTAACTATACTTTTTCATTAGAATAACTATTCAATATTGAGCTAATCAAGAAAGTTAGGTATAGACAAGTAGTGTCGTTTGTTGGCTGCACGCATTAGATGCACACCAATATAAGCTTTTTATTTCAAAAGTGGTTAAGTACAATTTATGACCAACAACCACTGAAATCTAATCATGGTGTGAAACTCTGGTGTGAAAATAAAAACTCTATCTGTTGACAAGTTGTTCATAGATATCTTGAGCTTCAAACCGATGGATTGGATACAAGGATATTCCCAGGAATATATACCCACTATGTTATTGAGTTAGGGGTTGAAATAATTGTCTCGTATACTCAGGTCTGAAGGGAAAAAATCAAACATACAATGCATACCTGTAAGTGTACAGCAAGCAGCTGTCATTGGTATGATTTCCGTATTCCAATTTATAGTAACAATTGTTAATGACTATACAGGCATCGGGAAGGATGTTAGGGAGATGAGGGGTGGAGGAATGGAGGTCACCCAGGGGTCATAAGGAATTTAAAAATCTGCTTAGATTATACCAAAATCACTTGTTATCACTAACTGATGAGGCAGCAGGCTGTTTAACTGCAAACAATTTTTCCTTGGTTTTAGCCAATTTAATTTGCATTTGTAGTGAAAGGGGAGATAACAAGCTTGTGACATGTACATCAACAAACAGTTGTATCATCATCTAGGGGTGATATATATACATTAAATGACACATCCTACCATCTTCTACTAAAATGTAGCTTTAAGTGGGCAACTACAGTTCAATTCTTCAATATAACATTGTTCAGAATTTATTATTATTAGAATCTACAGGAAATCTATATAGATACTGAGTTTTTAAGTGATGAGTGAAAAGTTGAGAAATTCCTAAAAAGCTAATTAGAGAAAATGGTAAGGTGTCATGACGTAACAACCTAGGCTTCTAATTCATCATCCTCAACCTAGCAATAAAATAAAACATTCTCACATGAAACTTTTCATCTGATTCCAAGAATTTTTCCTGTAAAGTATTGCTTTATAGACATGATATTTTTCAATAATTAATCAAAAGTGTACCTTTCAATTTTGTCATTTCTTAAAATACTCTAGTGTTATTTGAAATTAATAAAGGCATGTATTTTTCTGAAGAAATACTGGTGATTACAATTACACCATCAATATACACACACTTGTAAATTACTCTCTGTGATCATAATCCTATTGCATCAATCAACACAGTAAATACATATGTAAAAAAAAAATTCTAGGAAAAGTTCCACATCAACTAACCCTTTAAGCAAATTTTGAAGTTTACATAACATAATGAGTGATTTTTTTGTTGAATATAAAACAAAACCTTTCACTATATATTGAAATGTATCAAAATTAATTTTTTAATAAAAATTCTCACAACAATATCAAGAATGCAACATGAGTTGCCAATGTTCTAAATATCGATAGTTATTTTTTTGTTTAATGTTTAATTTTAATTCTAACCAAGAGATTAATCTTACATGTAACGTTAGATCAGGAACAAAAACCAATGGGTTGTCTCCCCTGATATGAATTCATGAGTTTCAACAAGTGAATGCAATTAAGTTAGCGAGGTTATAGACATGTCCTAGATAACACAACACCTAAAAAAAAAGTTAATTTAGAGTTACTTTAACAAAACACTATCTAGTATCAACAATCTGCTTACAACTAAACGTAACGGGTCTTTGCTGGGTAGGGAATCAGGACTGCTCTAAAATAAAAATTGAGGCTTCAATTGTAGATATTGACTAAAATGGATTTTTTCAGTCACACCAACACCTAAGTTCCCATTCCTAAGACAGGAAATTGGCTAAGTAATTAAACAAAAATATCCTAAAGTATGATGGATTATAGGATCGATTTGCTTTGTGTCACAGCCATGTTTTTTCTTAAATTATCATCATACATACATATACAATTTTCTTTTTTTTTTCTAAATCTTCATTTTATATCATATAGTTAAAAATTTCAAATTACGCAGAAATTTATTAAAATGTATAGTTTTCTTCAATACTGTATTTATCAAAACCATGTAATAAAAAGAGAAGGATAATCGCTACATCAAATTGAAGAACATCAATGAAGTCCTACAACAGAGCTAATAATCATATAATCATTTGCTAGTAGTATATACTTTCTGTACATTTCACATCTATATTCACAGCATATTCATTGGTACTTGTTCAAGACAACAACTTATCAAAAAATAAGAAATGATTCCCATTAGATTTTAAATATTCATGGCAGGATGTTTTGAGTTTTAAAGTTTAACAACTAAACCTAGTGGAGAGGTTAGCTAGGTGGATGTAAAGAGGGAAAAGATTTAGTTTTAGTTAGGACAAACTCTGAGAGATAACAAATTCCACATTACAGGAAAGATGACAAATACAACCACAAAAACTAACGATTTAACATTAAAACAAATTTACATTAAAACACTCAACATTAATAGTACAAAACAGAAACTAGGAAAACATCAAACACTGGCATTGAATAGTTTGTCTTTTCTCAATTATCTCTAATCTAAATCAGAATTGTAATTTCACATGTACTAAATTAACACTGTAATCAATGCATGGTTCCATGATATCACCAATATAATCCTGTAACATGATTTGTTTAGTTTTAAAACCACACTACATGTAGTAGTTCACAAAAGTAAAACTAAGTTTGATTGTGAGATAAACACCACTATTCAGAAAACAAACATATCTTACATCTGTAATTCTTAATGATAATTGGCAAAATACATTGCATTTCATTAGGTGTCAAAATGACATCACATACTATATATTAGTGATATTGTAGTTTTCACAACTCTTTTTGTTTTCCTTATTGACATAAACTAAAAACTGCTATGAGAATTACTCATATTTTTTCTTTTCAACAAAACTGATGTTAAAATATCCTCTTTTATACCTGTTCCATTAAAGGGCTTCATAAGCTATTTCACTATCCAATAACACATGATAAAGGAATCAATAACTACCAGTCAGTAATATGAATGACAGTCCCACCAAATTGATTTTACTTGGACATACATAGGTATATGTAAACGACAAGATTGGTCAACTGAGACAGACAAGACAAACAGACAACACAAACAAGGAAAAAACATACATATTCAGTAGACAATATCTAATAGCTATTCTTGTGTATAGATTTTCAATCATTTAAAATAAAAGTTTTAGCTTCAATTAGAAAAGAAAAACAACAATGAGACATTTAACTCTATGACAACCCTATAGCTCTATAGCTGAAGTTCATTATGGTAGGTTCTGTTTATATATGAAGATACACCAAAATTTATGAAAAAGAATATTTACTCCATCACTACATTCAAAATCAAATACAAAATAATTCTATTAAAAACCAAAAAAAAAAAAATGTGTCAAGAGTTCAAACCTCTCCATCTAATTCTTTCTCCTGGTATAAGATAAACAAATAGATTTCTCATCAGTTGACAATAACACACAAAAATATTGAATCAACTCTGAAATAAATTACATAATTATAGTTATATCATGGATACGATCTCATTTTAAACATGCAGACTGCTGTATCAAGTTATTTATGTGTTAGAGGTATTGGGCTACACAATATATAGGATTACAGACACAAATCATTATAATGGGTGGATTTGTGAAAATCTATACTAAATCATTCAGTATAAAAACAAAGTGTAATATACTTCTATTAACCATGAAATGAACTGAATAAGATGACATTTTACACCAATTCCAAAACATGATTGATATACAGAGTATGTGTAATGCTAACAACTTAAATGGACAGGTTACAGTCTTACCTTCTTATCATGGATGACAAGCATATGCATGACAGTGTTTCCGTTGTTATCCTGGAGGTTGGGGTTAGCTCCCTTGGCAACTAGCAGGCGAACACACTCCTCTTGTCCAAGACAGGCAGCAAAGCTCAGAGGATATTCTCCAAAGTACACATGTCTGAATTTCAAAATATGGATTAAATGCCATCCTGGTGTTAGATGTTATAGGGAGCATTATGAATCATGTCTTCTTACCGTCTAGATTCTATACTGTTAAGCATATGGTCAGCAAGTGGAAAATACTTCTATTAAGGGGTTATATATTGGTAAATATCACAAGATGATTAATATTACATGAAAATATTGCATTATTCTTGGCAATATGCCTCAATATTAATATATCAATTTTTGTAGAAAATTTACAGAACAAATTAAAATTCAAGATGAGCTTTATTTTTGACTTGTTTATTATCTAAAGAGGTCAAATAACCAATTGAATATTACCCATCATAGTTTGTAGTTTCACAGACATCGACCCATTCATGGTCTAAACTGTCTGACCTTGAATCTTTCTGATCATCTGGACACATGAACCGACCACAACAACGGGCATGGACATCAGCTCCCTTGTCTAATAAGAACTTGACCATGGCAGGATCTTCATTGACCACTGCCATATGCAGCACATTCTCTCCTGATATACATAAATAAAGCCATATAAAAACAAATGAGAGATTAAGACAACTGTTCAAATCATAGCTATGCTCAGGATCACAAAGAATATATCATGATAATCATGAGTTGTCTTCCCATAGATCCACAAAATGTGGCTTATCTCCCTTTAATGATTGGGTTATCCTCAGCTGATCACAAGAACAAATATGTTTCCTGTACTTGTAAACAGAGAGGAAAAAGTCCTATGTGAAGTCATTGTCCATTTAAATCTGCAAACTGAATTCTTACCACTCATCATTGTCTTGTTTTACCATCATAGGATGTAATACTGAAGTCTCATTTTTTTCTATTTGCAGATATGATCTTCACATTTTAATTGTGTCACTGCTGAAAGGTTCATCGTCCAAATTAATGATGCTTGTTTTTTGGAGATTATGGTTAAAAAACTAGAGCTGTTTCAATTGATTTTAAGCATGGAGGGAACCTAACAATCTTGCAAGAAAGACCCTTTACTTTTGCAGATAAGTCTTTGGCTGTAATATGTATGTTTTGTATTACATATATCACTTTATTAGATCACATCATCAATATGCCAAGATCAACAAAACAGTCAAAAAAGTCTGTAAACTTGATCTGCAATCACATTTATCTTGTCACTAAAGTTTGTCTGTATTGCCTATCTCCTCGTGTGCCAGAAATCCTGATAAACTACCTGTTATCGGACTTATACCCCACTATAATGTAAAATTTAATATTTTTATTAAATTTGAGTTTATGTTAGAAACTGTTCTCCTTCTATAGCTTCCTGTTTCGATTGTGATTTGTTGTTTATTTTTTTCTGTTTGTACATCAATGTGTCGTATCTTTATGCTAATTAGTATGCTAATGAGTTTTTTCTTTATCTTTAACCAATCAGCAATTACTCCTTAGAGGGATATCAGTATTGGCATCCATTAACTTTCAGCGTTTGCTGAGTGAGAGGAGCGTTTTATTTTGTGCCTTACCCACCCGCCATCCCCTTCATCACCTTTAGGACAGATGGTTGTATGTTTTACTTGTATATACCTGTTCATTTTTTTTTTTTTTCTCGCTTTTATTACAAATGTATTTAGTTCTTCTTTATTTGCAAATGTTTGTATTTTGACTGCCATTATAGTTGTGCTACTCACTCTTGTTAGGGGGTCAAACTTCTTAACAGGGTCCTTTCATGAGTCAAGTCACTACTCTGTAACGGTTCAGAGTTCACAGTCTTCTCATTGGTTACCCTGGAGTCAAGTTTGTCCTAGTATTATACTAGCTGCTCTGTGAGCCAGTGTCAGAGTCAAGTCACTTCTCTAGAACCTTCGGAGTCTCTTAGAGTCAAGTACTTCTCTATACTCTTACAGAGTCTAGCCCTATCATTCCTAGCTTCTCTGGCATCAGCGAGTCTAGTTGCTTCTCTGTTCATCAGAGTCAAGTGATTTCTCCTGTTCCGGAGGAGTCAAGCACAGTTCACTTTACTTCGCTTCTCTGATTTGCAGAGTCAAGCTTGTCACAATTATATGTTCAATAGTTTGCTTATGAGTGAGTAGCCCCTGTTACGCCAAAGAGATCGTTACGCCCAAGAGATTGTTTTTTGTTGCTACAGAAGACGTCTCATGCATTATCAATAAACAGCTTCACTAGTAGTCAAGTCTTGCTTTGTTTTTTGTATAAAGCCAGGTTTATTCTATTTACCATAGTACTCCTCACTAGTGTAGATATCAAGGATCAGTTTGGGGAAAGCCTGAAGGAGTCTCTTGGCCAGGTCAGCATGGATAGCAGAGGCATTAAGCAGACATAGGTGAAGGATAGTTTCCCCTACGGTTCCTCTCTCATTTAGATCCCAGCAGGTCTCACGGAATTTACGATCTAAACAAAAAAATCAGTACATATCTTATTTATTACAATAACAGATATAATTTTATCAATATTTGAAACATGAAGTTTTCTTTCAGTATCAAGATTATTTATGTCATTTCACAGAGGATTCTAACAATCAATATATCAATTAAGTAGCTGTAACCTAGATTACAATGGTTTACATTATGTGAACTTTGTATCATTACCCAAGACAATCTAGACAGTAAATTATTTGTGAGAAGTTATATAACCAGAATCACTGTGCCATGTAAATAAAAACAAGAGGCCCATGGGCCTGAGTGGTCATCTGACAATAAAGACTTATATATGAAAGAGGCCAAATAGACCTGAAATAAATTTTATCAATTGTTGGTTCATAAAAATATTTTCTGCAAACTTGAAATCATATTCTTTATACATGTTACTATACAAAGCTATTACTAAGAACCTATTGCTTGCCGAGACAGAAATTGTAAGATCTCAACTCACTTAACCCAAAAGATCTTGAATAAAGTTCAATTATGTGAACAAATCGGTAGTCCATCATCCACTTATATTAAAGAACCAATATCGAAAACGAAGTTTTTTGTTATTGAGAAGTCTTTTACAGATTTTTACATATTTGTCGTCTGTGACCTTGAAAATAGGTAAAAGACATTCATTTGATCAAACATGCTTTGGGCTCAATATCAGCACCCTCGGCCTTCTGGTTATTGAGAAGAAATTGTTTAAAGATTTTGACATATTTGACACATGTGACCTTGAAAGTGAGTCAATATCATTCATTTTATTAAACTTGGTAGCCCTTTATCCCAGCATCATACAGGTATATCAGCTCCCTGTGCTTTCTGGTTATTGAGGATATCAATAATGTTTCAAACAGAACCATATTCCATACAAAACAGATTATTATAATTCCACAACAGTCTGGTAATTACCAGATATTTAATCAGAACAAAAGGCAATAATCAGAACATGACATACTAACAGATGATGCTTTTTTCAGCACTGAACCCCAAGAAACAAATTGTATGCTGGGTATGTTCCTTTGGCTTCTTTTTTAATTCCTAAATGAATCTTTAGGTCATAAACAACTTTGTATTTCCACAGTAAAATTCACCTTTTCCTTTATTTCAGTGAGTCAGGCAACTTTCAATCTTGAATCACAGTACTTATGGTCAAATTATGTATAGATTCTATATGCTATAAAACCTGAGTTCCCTACATTATACTGGTATATGATATATATACCTATGCAACAGTTTTGATATATTCAGGCTTTGCTTATGTTACAGAAATGATCAAAAGAAGTATTGATATCCCTCTTCATCTCAATACAATTGAATATCTTAAGTAGTTTGCTCTTTAAAATTGTTAAACAACAACTGAATTAAGAAGACAAATAAATAATATTCACAACAAATTGTTATTTTTTGATTATCATAAACAATTGACAGAGGTCAAATGTGCCTGAGTTGCTCCCCTGTGTGTGCTTTAGTTTAAAAGAGCTTTGTCAATTATGTCAATTTCTGTAAACTTGAGCACTCATTTCCAAAGCATAGCCACAAGTATAAGGTTACAAGGCCTACTCACGACAGCCTTAGTTCTTCGAAATGAACTCCTGTGACCTTGAAAGTGAATCTAGGACATTAATTTGAATAAACTTTAAAGCACTTTCTCCAAGTATGATATGTACCTATTTATCATGACCAGGAGCTTATTGTTGAAAATTCAGAAGAGGTTTTTAAGACATCTAATTATATTTGACATCTGTGACATGAAATGTGTTTGTATAAAGGTAATTTATTTCAGCTAACGTAGAAGCCCTTCTTTCCAGCATGCTAATGGCCAAATAACCTGAACCTGGGTCACTTGATTATTAAAAAGATGTTGCTTTAACATCTTAACCCATTTGATCCTTTAGTACCTTGAAAAGGTTTACAGTCATTCATTTGAATATGGTACTGGGTCAATGTCAGCTTGGCCTCTCGGTTTTTGAGAAGAAGTTGTTTAACTGTTGTTAACTCAACCCCTGTGACCTAGAGAGAGTTTCAAGGCCATTTATATGAACAAACCTTGTAGCCTTTCATCCGAACATGAAACAAGCAAAACCAAACTTTATGATAACCCTATATATCTTGTTTACTCTAAAAAAGATGTTCAAAGTTTTCATACATTTAACCCCAAAAGTTACATAAAAAATGACTCATCTTTAAAGTGATTCAGTTAAAGAAAATAGGTAGTCTATTTCTAAGCATTCTACAGGTTCTGAACCAATGTAATAATCTTCTTTGTTAATCAGAAGTTATTTACAGGGAAAAGATAATGACTGATGATGGATTCCTGGAGAATGACAGATGCTGCACCACAGTTCACCAGTCCTTCAGGCAGGTGAATTAATACGGAGAGATAAATATGTAGGATGGGACAAATGGAATGGGCAGCCAAAACAACAGGTGGGTGTATAAGTCTTGATTGGATGAAAACATATGTATATTGTTGGAAGCTCTTCATACATGTGTTAAGTCTATACTATATTATCTAAACTGAACTTCTATAATTTAACATTTTTAAAGAAAGAAAATGAATTACTTTCAACAATGAAATTAGCAAGATTTAGCATAGAGAAAACTGTATACTAAGTCATGTTTGAAACAGTATTTTAATGCAGGCGTGGATGTATGGCAAAGCCTGTAAGCAGTGCATATGAGAGCACAAAGACGTAAATAAAATATTCATCAGAGCAACAACAATGAGACTGCACTGTTAACGACAATACATATGTACCATACACATTCACAGTGGTGCAACAGTACAAACACATGAAAAAGCAAAGGTGTAATGCCAGTTTTGATACATACCTGGTAGTGCAGTACCGTCTGAAAGCATTTTCATTATTATTATACAACAGTGAATAAATCATATATCTAGTGCAAGTCGGTCATGCTGAAATAATGTAACAAATGTGAATAACATATTGGTTTAGACTTTTATATTGTTAAATACATGATGTACTCATACATTGGAAAACTACTAGTACTATGGGTGTAATATTTCAAACATATTTTCACGTTAAATACACTTTGAACCCCATCTCCTGCTCTCAAATCTGAAAGTTCGTTTCAATAACTTGCATGGCAGTTGTGTTTAAGGAAACCTTTTACATCATTAAAAATATAAAGTAAACTTTGTAAGAATATTAAATAACACAGTCAAAATGTATTTGATTTACCATACTAAAGTTAATTCTGATCTGGGACATATACACATAAATACAGAATACCAATGGATATGTCAACTCAGATTCAGGTCTCTGGTTACACTAGTACTGTAAACTGTAATATCATCCCCAGAGACCTATATAGTCTACGTTCAGTGAAGACAAAAGATTTTTTAAAAAACAAAACAATTTACATATACCTACATGAATACATATGCCAATACATAATTGATAACTTATTTATGTTAATTCTAGTGGATAATGGCATGCTTCTCTGAAGTAGGCCTATTTATGATCTCACTGGTCTGTGATCGACAGAGATCGTCCCGTCACCAGTAAGACAGACGATCATTGGTCCAGCAGCTGTTTACCTGGTTTGTTCTGGAGATAGTTGTCCTGGCCATCAGGAAACCGCATATCAATCAATGCCAGCTCTTTGTCTTTTTCCTGTCTCTGTTTATTAATCTTTGGCTTGTTACTACTTCTCTCTTTACTTCTTGTCATAATGAGATCCACGATCGGGACTTTCTTTCCATCGCCATCATTATAGAGAAATTTTTTGACGTCCGTCTGTATTTTTTCGTCAATTTCCTTGTAATTTTTTCTCCATCTGGCCCTTTTCATAAGCTCGACTAACTCGCCCCCACCCTTCAAGTCGACAAGTTGGTAAAGCTTCTTCACATCGCTGTCTCCTTGTGCCTTCACATTGGAGGCTACGACAGTGGTGTTCCCCATCTTTGTATCTTGTCCTCTCACCTGTCAAACTGTACAGCCATGTTGGATTTTGTGTCACAGGTAAATAGAAAATTACGCATGTGTATTGCTTAACTTCCTGTGTCCCCTACTGGTACATGCGACAATGTAGTTAATGGCGTGGTAATGAGCAGCACACCTGAGTGTACATCTTTATTCTTACATATCTAAATAATGACACTCAATTCCCCAACCACATTTTAGTTTTAATCAATGTAACACAAAGTAGCCAAAACGACAGATTTCGAAGGCGCGAGGTCTGCTACCGTTGTTTATCAGTAACGTTGCGTGCTGCTCCTAACAGGTAAAAACGCCAGGTGCGTGCCCTATCGTGATACCAGTGCCGAGTTGGGCATTTAATCTACCTTTCATTGGCTGCTCAGCGAAGTGTGTAACACCTTAGCAACTCGAGGCGCCCTAGACGACCAAGGGCCGTATCCAAACAAGTATCGTAATTTACGTGTATACCTAGGATATCGAACTCGGGATACCTGTGTCAGCCACTGCAGTAATATGACAACCGTAGCTTGCGGAGGGGGACCATCCCTGGACCAGAGGCGGGCGTTCGCTGCCCTGAGGGATGGGACACACGTACCTGGGTAAGTGACCAGTCATCTCAAGTTTTTCACACCTATACCTAACACTTGCGTGTTTTTCACGACGGACAGGAGAACGGCTACCAGCTATGATAAGTTACCTGTTAAAGGTATCCGTTTTAATGGAACATACAAACAATTGACGAGATCCAAACAATTAGTAATATAATGCATGGATTTATAATGTGTGTCATTATTGCTGATATACATCCTTTTGTACACAATGAAAACATGTAAACATTTACTTGTAAATATACATTACAAGATTATGATAACATCTGCCACTATCAAAATGATATGAAACATAGGACATTTACAACTCAATATAATGTAGTCACATTAATATCATTTCTATATTTAGTAAGCCATAATTCTTCTTTTTTTTCTCTCTCATTAAGATCAGTTCGTTACAGACAAACAGTATTTCTTTGTTTCAATAACAATTCAAATAACCTTAATTTGATTATATAATTATGATCTTATGTACAAGATAGAATATTGTGTTGCCAAATTAATTTACAAAAAAATAAAGGATAGTATATAATACATGATCATAGACTATAAGTACCTATTTAGGTACCTTCATTAATGTTTTATATATTGTGTATTTTAGGTACAGGGGATATTGTCCACAAATAAAATACAGGGTCGGTAAAACCTACGGAACAGACACCCACATCTTAGCAGGGGTAAGTACATAGAATGAAAGTTGTGTAGATAGACCAGATCGGATCGCATGTCTGTATATTGATAAAACATTTTCACCTGAACTTCTGTCCTGAGTATAAAATTATCGCCTTAACAGGTTACAACTTCACCCAACTTACACCCCTGGTTCATCAAGGATGTCTACCCCTTCCCCCATATATTCATTTAAACTCATGCATGTACACATTCTGACCTGGTGTCAACCTCTTCTCCAACTGTACAGCTAGACACTGGGAGGTAGACATTCCAAGCTGGTTGTCAACCTCTCCTCCACCTGTACAGCTAGACACTGGGAGGTAGACATTCCCTCCTGGTTGTCAACCTCTCCTCCACCTGTACAGCTAAACACTGGGAGGTAGACATTCCCAGCTGGTTGTTAACCCTTTTCCACCTGTACAGCTAGACACTGGGAGGTAGACATTCGAAGCTGGTTGTCAACTCTCCTCCACCTGTACAGCTAGACACTGGGAGGTAGGCATTCCCAGCTGGTTGTCAACCTCTCCACCACCTGTACAGCTAGACACTGGGAGGTAGACATTCCCAGCTGGTTGTCAACCTCTCCTCCACCTGTACAGCTAAACACTGGGAGGTAGACATTTCCAGCTGGTTGTCAACCCCTCCTCCACCTGTACAGCTAGACACTGGGAGGTAGACATTCCCTCCTGGTTGTCAACCTCTCCTCCACCTGTACACATTCTCACATTGTTATAAATCTCCCCACATCCAACTGTCCCACCTGAACATTGAGGCTCAGGTGAGTGACACATTCAGATTTTCATTTGGTTGTAAATCTCATTGGTAACCTGACAGCTATGTATATTGTACTTCTAAGTCCATCACTAAACTTATCAATAGATAACATCTACTTTGTTATATAAGAGAATGGCTTCTTTCAATAAGAATACCTAGATTAGTAAATAAGATATAAAATACACATACCTGTACAAGAACCTAACATATTTGTATACGACAGTTGCCAATGAATTGTGTATAATGCAATTTACCTGTACATGCACTATAGCTCTATCAGCAGTCTCAATTATTGCAATTCCTACAGTGAATTGAGTCGCTGACTGACACCTAAATGTAAATGACACATAAATATAAATACACAGATCATTCATATGAAATTTAGTTTGTCAATATCAAACCAAACACTGCATTAGCTTGACACGTAAGTGGGCTGAAGTAGTGCTATATGGTGGTGGAAGGGGGGACTGGATATAAATCATTAGAGCCACAAGTCAGTATCACTGTGTGTTGTTGACTTTGTTATCTGAGAGTAAAGAAGTTTGACATGATTTGTGTGACCAATATCAGCTAAGATTAATCTTTTCATAATTGTTATTTCTAAAATGATAAAGACATTAAATAAGAAGAACATTAAAGTTTTACATTATAAAGTACTACTCTATATTGACAGATTGAAATAAACATTCTGTATATACTGTATAAAAAGTTTTGTTACTGTGAAATCATGTATTTTTGTGGGTACTCTTAGTCCACAAATTTATATGCCTATGAATCATTAGTTTAAGTAAATCTATTGAGCTCTATCAATGCACGAAATCAAAGGTCCATAAAATACTATATTTTGGAAAAACCACAAAACTTTTGCCCTATGAACATGTAAGATTTTACAAAAGCATGAACAATTATAAAGTACATGCACTTTTAGCCATAGATTTCATTTAAGAGGGTATCAGTAATTGTGCAGTTAAAATATACCTGTAGTTATAAGGAGACATATTCTTAAACCTTATCCTAGCATTTAGCTTTCCTCGGCAAATCGTCTTGTCAGTCTTTCCTACGTGACAGATTATAGGTAATTATGATTATTATATACTGTATATATAAATATCTCTTAAATACAGAGTACATTATGTACTTATCTTTCAATGTCATCACAATTTTGAACCGCAGTTGTTGTATTCAGGAGCAGTATTAATATAAAAACAGATTTTAAAGTTGTTTTTTTCCCTTCAGACTTTTACAGAATAGTAAAGTTTATTGATATGTAGACTCCTCAAGGAGCACACGTTTTAGCTAGGAAAAACAGCTGATTTTTAGCTGTGAACGTTTTATTTAAAAAATCTCTAAATAGATTCATTACACCATAACTCTTTATTGGTGTGTCAATCAGACAGAAGCACTAGTAGGGGCTTTGTAGAACCTATTGATTTTGATTAACCTGTAAACCTATTGTAAATACATACTGTGAAAGTATTTGACAAGTTTGTTCTCGCCATGGTAATTCAATACTAAAGGTGTCTCTTCAGAAAACTTAATTATTCAGGTGGTATTGTATGGGTAAAAAGGACAGAGCCTATACACCCGACCATTTTCTAATTACCCTGTCCTCACACAGCAAATTACATATATAACACCTGACACGACAACATTTCCGGCAACATTATCAATACTGATGACGCGAGTTTATTGTGTTGGCGAAAAATTCTCATTAAAAACAGAATCAATGATTGATTTACAGATACCTGGAGTTTAAACCCTTGAAATGCTACATTTATATGGAAGTGGAATGTTTTATTACTTTAAATAAAAAACAAGGGGAAAATTTGATAATCTATATTTAAAATGCAGATAATGTTTTAAAAATACATCCATATTATATAAACTGATTTTAATTAATGATACAATTCTTTGTGCCATTTGATACATATGTTATTATCAAATCTAATACCACTTAAAATTGTAGATTTTATTTATTTATTTGTTTATAAATTCTTTTAGAAATTATTGCGCATTTCATTTTTTAAACTTGTAAAACACCATTGTTTCACATTCTACAGATACTGTATATCGATATTGGATGTATCTGTTCTAAAATATTCAAGATTGTATAAAAACAATCAAACAGTTTAAAAAGATGTAAGATAATTGAGTAGTAAATAAACATTTAATTAAAGTTTAAATCACAATCCAATTGTAAATCTGTGATAGAAATCAATGACTGGACTAACAACAGGGGAATTGAAATCCACACTACAGTTAGGGAGGGACCATTAATCAGACACCAGGATTTTATGGCCAATTTGTTAGACTGCTTTAATTTTAAAATCTTACCAATTAAAGTATCTATCCCCTCTTTCCATGATGTTATGAAAAAATATCTCTGTGACACACTGCATTCATGTGTTCTACCCATTAATGGTTTATCAGCCAATGGGTATCTTACATGTTCAATCACTAAGTAACAGTTGATCAATCAAGCTTGTTGTATAAGCTAACTGTGATATACTATGCCTCCTAAAAACCAGGTTTTTAACTTGTTTTGAATCTTATTTTCTAAAACATGACCTTTGAATATCAAAGTCATATTTTAAGTGCTAATGACATCATCACATTCTGATACACAGGTATCTGCTGTCTCTAAGATGTCCACCATTTTCAATATAAACTATTAGACAGATATATATAATTATATGAATATCTAAACGGTAATTGTATGATCTGACTGGATATACAAGTTTATATGGCTAGTGTGTACAGTGTTACCAGGCATTGCTATATCACACATTTTATTTAATGTATTTTAATAGTTCAAGGTGATAATAATCATACAATGGTATACCAGTAGCCTATGAATAGACACTTGCCATATATATACCAGGTATATATATACAATAAAAACTAATTACTCGTATGATCACTATAGATCATTACACACGCAGCCAGCTTGTCCCTACATGAATGTGGTTGATTGATACAATCAACATATTGAATATCTAGATACAAGCATTATAGATTTACAGATTGAAGGGTTCAACCTAAAACCACAGGGCATACAATTTAATCACAGTATAAACATTTCCAAGAAAAAGAAAAGAAAAAACACAAAAAATAGTTTTAAGAAAAAATTAAGAAAAAACCCAAAACACTCCCCCCTCTCCCCCTTTCCCCCCCCCCCCCCCCCCCCCAAAAAAAAAAAAAAAAAAAACAAACAAAAAATAAATAAAATTTTACCATATGTAGATCTTATAATATAAATTACATGATCATAATGAATTTAATTTCATGAACTAGTGTTAAAATGATAATAAAGCCCGAGTATGAATACTTATATTCCTGGAAAGTAATATAATACCTCTTTGCTAACTCAGATGACTGCAAAAATACCTTAACAGATTAATTGCAATTTGCTTTACTTATATTCATATGTTATACTTATATACATATTTAAATCCTTCTCAAGTTTTGGCATCAATATCATCGATACCTGAGCGCTATAAACCTCAGTGTTGTTTAGCTAAGTGAGAATGTGTATTTGTTCAGACAACAAAACCAGTAGAGAAAACTTTACTTATTAGATCTATACATGACAGATGAATAAATGAAGGTTTCAAGTCAACTATAATTACAATCCTTTAATTCTACTCTGATGAGATTTAAACGCGCCAGTGAGACGTACCGGAAACTCTAATCTTTGTTGGTCATGTTTGTCTATGGAAAACAGACATGTTTTTACAGTAAAATATTGCTTTCTTATAATATATTGGTGTTTTCAGCTAAATAAAACTCTTTTCAGATTGAGAAATTATAGGAGCATACAATTGATGTATACAATCTGGCCCAGGGGCACTAAATCACCCATTGTGGAAGTTTCAGGCCACATTCAGTAGTAATTTTATCTATTAAAATTTATTTATACAACTAATACCACCCATTTTTATACCCACAGAGGCTTTATCTCACCTATGTAATTGACACACAAATGATCCATTACATTTTTACATCTGATTAGAAAGCTGAATGATAATCCAGTCCAATTTATAGTCGCCTTGGTGAAAAGCCAGTTTGAATCCACGACGCTATCCAACAACCCAATTTTAAGCTCTCTAAATGAAAAACCCTTTATTTGCAAATACGTTCACACTTGATTAGAAACAATGAATTGGCTAATTTACATGGAGACCCTTGATGAAGATCAAGAATATGATAAGACCAGGTGTTCCGGAATGGTAAGCATCTTCTACTTCAGCAACCATACCAGCCATGTAAATCTTGGTAATACCAAGCATTTAAGTAGTGTCCTGTTCTCAAATGTGAACAAGGTATATAACAACAAAACTGCCAGAAATCCTAACAAGTATTGAACACATCAAACCACCTGTCACATAAACAAATGGGATATTGCCAATTGAGATCATAATGGTGACCATAGCATTTTCCTACTTTTACCATCACCGATTTATTTCAATTGGTACCACCCTGATGTTTTGTAATCAATTTGGTAGTTGGTACATATTCATGTGCTAATTGAAAATATGTTTGAAATCAATATACCAAAAAGAAAAAAGGAAATGTAAATTTAACATTTAATTGCTTTTTTAAATTAAAAGATAACTGATATTACACACCATTTTCTGGTAATAGTAATGTTTAAAAGTATTAAATGCAAGTGCATGAGTAAAATATGGAACTAGATTTGGAGCAGGTAATTTCATTTGATGGGTAAACCATTAAGGTGAGAAGAAATATCCTGATTGGGCCTCGGAATGGACGTAGTGTTGTGTTGGCCGTGGACGTGTATGTTTAAGGTATTCTGAAGTGTTTAACTAATGGCCAGGTGATCTACAAGTGTAAATAAAACATGAATTGGCTGTGTACCTGTAGCATAGACAGCATATCTGATATCTATTGTATAAATACATTACTGATTACAGCATAACGTCACAGAAGGTGGTATCCAATGTCAGTATATAACCTCTTAAATTGTCTACTTCTGCTAACATCAATATTGATAGTTTCCTTTTTAGATTCTACTTGAACCAATGTGAGGGCTTCTAGCAGTGGCTCACAGGTCTCTTAGTTACAGACAGTGCCTATACGCCTATACATGTATATTTTGTTATGTTCTGTTTTGAATCTGTTGGACGAAGCAACAATATAATTTAGTGCTTAGTCCAACTACAGCTTGGTCCCATGACTGGCATATGGTCAATTCTTACCAGACAATTAATTAATGTATCCGCAGATCCCTATTATGTCATCCTTATACACATGATAATATTAAGTGTTACTTTAACTGTGAAATGATTTGACTGTTACTTTGGAAAGGAGGGCAACTGTTTGTAAGAGAAGCAATTCCATTGTGCTTATAATAGAATAAATACTCGGTTTAAGAAGCATAACTGACCAGGTGATTAACTTTCGTTTCCAAATAGTTACGCTACAGCTTCCAGTCAATTAAATTACATATTTATTTCTTACCCATCAAAAAATTATTTAAATGTATATGTATGTAGCTGAATTCAGAACGCTGCATATTTATACGGCGTCTCCCGATCTGTTTGATGTGGATCCCGACCACTGAGCCGTCATGGGGAACCATCAATAGTACATACAACCCAGTGAATTGCGACACACCTCCAATACTTTCTACTGATCGATAGATCCTGTTAAGCTTTGATTGAGAATCAATGGGATTAATATTGTCCACATTGTGTATAGATACACAAGTATGGTGGGGATATGACAGGATCAAATAGGCTAGAGTTCATAGTCTTACCTTGTAAAATAGGATAGAGCTCAAATCTATCAAAATCCACTTGAACATTTTAAATGTTTCCTGATTGATAGAGAAATGGAAATCTTACACATGAAACACTGGCTAAATCTGTGCATTACTCTACATGGTCTATATTTTACAGAAAATCTGTTGTTCTTAAAAGAAATCCCCAGGACCCTATCACTACTGGTATCTCCACCACCACTCTTTACTGTTCTCAATTTTCTTACATGGAATCCTAGGGACTCTATTTCTGTCTCTACTAGACTTTTAACTGATTAAGGTTTTCCTGCAAGGATCAATCTCCGGATTCAAAGGGTCTATTTTAGTTTATCTCGTATAGACATGAAGATATGAGTCTCTTTTTACCAGCTACAGTTAATAGTCTATATGTAAATTATATTAGCGTTTAATTGTGTTGGTGTTTATATGTAGTTGTAACAAATGACCTGGCACTGCAGGGATTGTTCATTAATGTAATATGGTATGGTATCAATAACCTAACTCATGTATTTATTTTCTTCACTTTTTGCTGTTTTGTGGTTATTTTGCTACCAAATGTACAGTCCTTTGGATGGAACAGCCATTGTGACGATGATTCACTGTCTCCATCTCCAGGACTACACACCATGATGGTCCTCTGAGTAATACTGACTAAGTCCACCTCTGACTACAGTTTACATATTACTTGTCAAATTGTTGCTTAGTCAATTAATGACTATTTTCTAGAATCATGTAATACAGTTATTGGATTGGCTTTTTTCTCGAAATTTTTCTTTTTGAAATACATACCTTAATATGACAAATGTAAAATATATAAAATTATAACAAATCCTTGGTGTCTACCTGAACAGGGATTGATTCATCATTTAAGCTCCTTTGCTTTAGTAATACCAATATTACATAATGATCATTTGAATAAGCAGTCCTTTATATGTCACACATCCTCTCCTACCCAAATTATGATGTAATATATAAGAAACACTTGTGGTTAATTCTACCTCGTCAGATATCGTGATGCCATATATTACCTAGCCAAAACATGTTACAAGCTGTCTTAAATCACAAACCAACTTGCTTGTCAAATATATATACATATCTAACACTATTAAATGTAACAAATCCTACTTTTTCTTTGTTAAACAAACTTCTGAATAGATCAATACTGTCAAGAAGATTATAAAATCCACTTCTCACAACTTTTAGCATTCATACCTATTAGCGTTGTATTCTTGTTTTGATACCTGCTTTTGAAAAAAAGATCACAAACATTGAATGTCTCACCTGATGATATTTAAATCTACATTATTTTACTGAAAAGCCTTTAATTCTCAACAGATTACTCAACCCTACATATAAATAACATCAATGATGACAGAACACAACAGGTTTAATCACAGGTGTAAAATACCATCAGGGGAGATAATCCTCTGATAAGATCCTTCCTGTAAGCTCTTTTCCTTCATAGTCACTGGTGTATTAATTTTCTCAAAGTGTTATGATATCCTACATGTACTTCAAGTTTAATTATGTTTTAGTTAAAACTTTTTGATAATCAATACAGTAACAGACTTATAGTTACATTATTAAGATTTTTTTTATTGCACTAAAGCAAAAGTCATTCTTACCAGACTTTGTACAGTAAAAATATTACTAGTCTTGATTAGTACACTTACATTAGTTCTCATATATAATGTCATCTGTGTTGTAATACAGGTATGTCCAAGTAAATAATTCTAACAAAAAGAGAATTATTTGTTTTGATAATGAATATAATTATATAACTATGCATTTACAACTAAATAAAGAATAATTGTACAAGTATCGCCATAGCTAAGCTTAAAATTACGGTTCAGCTGTCTCATAATTACGCATTGTCTTGATCACGTGATGATAACAATACAGTTTGTTACACTATACAAAGCAAAGGAACAAAGGTAGCTATAGATTATATAAAATACAAAAATGGTAGAGCGATGCTGTTTATGTTTACCGTTGTTCTGATGAGGGCTAGTCTAGCTTGCCGAAACATGTCAACCTAATAAAACTACCGATCACAGAATCCTTGGTGTTGATGCTCCGTCCTTTATTCAGTTGTTATTAACTATTGTCTATGGAGCTCTGCTAGAATCCTCCAGATCCACCTAGGATTCTTCTACCGATACATCTACCAACTAGTACCACTCACAGGACGTTGGTTCTACCGATACATCTACCAACTAGTACCACTCACAGGACGTTGGTTCTACCGATACATCTACCAACTAGTACCACTCACAGGATGTTGGACTCCACCACCTCTTTTTATTTTCCAACTATGCATTTAGATTTACAGAATTACATGATTTTATGTAAACTCTCTGGATAAATGCTTTGTATACATGTCAACATACCTAATATCATCAAATATCTAGGTATAAATATACCTGTTGTACATTTTACTTCAGTACTGCTATTTCATAAATTACAGATCATTACACTTGTGAACCCAGAAATAATATGATTAGAGGTGTAACTAATTTGTAAATCTCCGTGCAAAATTACTGTGGGAAGTAAAAATGCAAATGGCTTTAGTTGCTGTAACCAGTTGCTGGGCAAGTGTAATGTGTTAAGATGATAAGTTCGACATTGGCCCAGATACTGTATTTCAGGACTGTTAACAATCTATACATGTTGTACATTACTACATCCTGTGGTACACTGTGTGCCTTTACACATTCATTCTTAATAGGATTAAAGCATTATCTTTAATCTTCAATACTTCATTGTTTGCTAAACAATATTTCAAATATTGTTATTATTGACAAGTAACACAAGGGCAACATGGGTCTGTTTCCTAATGTTACAAATACTTAGCACTAGGTTGAATCTGGATGTAACATCATACAGATATTGAAAGCTTACCACTGTGTTCCTAGTCACCAGTCATCAAGTCATTTGATTGTGAATAAGTCTGATGTTTATTTTATGTCTAATACCAAAGGATTTACTCTTCAAGTTAATCTGGCTAACAAAATTAAAAAAACAAAAAAGTCCACTGCTGTTTATACATGTAGATCTACTAAGAAGCCATTTCATATTATGATACCTAGAAACAAACATGTAACAATTTACATACAATCACATACAGCCTGTGTACATGATTTTGTAACCAAGCTGTACTTGTATGACATGCTATGTATACATATGATGAAGACACATAATTTACAGCCACTGAAACTCTCTACAATGATGAATGTTTCCTCCGAGGTAACCATTTCTGAGTGATACTAAATACTGTGTATAGAGACCATTACTAGTAACACCAATTCAAAGTATCTAACTTCAAAGAAATAAATTCCTGAAAAACATGTTGTGTATATATACTGACCACTACAGGTAAATCAAGAATATTCTTTCCATTACAGGAAGTCCAGCACAGACATCCTGCATCTGTGCTTGCAGCAACGATACCTGCACCTCCTAAACAACTTCCAGACGCAACCGGGGACAACAAATATACCAAGAACATGGTCCCTGGCTACACAGGTATGATATGCGTGTATATCTGGTTCCCTGCTACACAGGTATGATATATATCTGGTTCCCTGCTACACAGGTATGATATATATCTGGTTCCTTGCCTACACAGGTATGATATATATCTGGTCCCTGGCTACACAGGTATGTTATAAATTTGGTTCCTAGCTGCACAGGTATACTGTATATATATCTTGTTCTTGCCTACACAGGTATGATATATATCTGGTTCCTGGCTACACAGGTATGTTATATATCTGGTTCCCAGCTACACAGGTATGCTATATTTCTTGTTCTTGCCTACACAGGTATGATATATATCTGGTTCCTGGCTACACAGGTATGATATATATCTGGTCCCTAGCTACACAGGTATGATATATATCTGATTCCTGGCTACACAGGTATGAAATATATCTGGTTCCTGGCTACACAGGATATATATGTATGATATATATCTGGTTCCCAGGTATGATATATATCTGAGCTACACAGGATATATATACAGGTATGATATATATCTGGTTCCTGGCTACACAGGTATGATATATATCTGGTTCCCGGCTACACAGGTATGATATATATCTGGTCCCTAGCTACACAGGTATGATATATATCTGATTCCTGGCTACACAGGTATGATATATATCTGGTTCCTGGCTACACAGGTATGATATATATGTGGTTCCTGGCTACACAAGTGTAATATTTATATACATCATGTATATCTTCACTGCTGAATTAAGGGATGTCGTCCAACATGATAAAAATCATACAAGACATCTTCTTAGATCAGAAAATTTGACATAAATCATACTTCAATTTTGTTTTTTGTATCTATAATATAACAAACATAATGATGTGATGTTCATTAACATAGATTATAACTGAATAATTATTTTTAATGACATTATATGTACAATGAAAATAACATGTAGGGCTATTCCAATAAAATATTCATATCAGGTACCAACAGAGGTTTATCAGCCCACTGGTGATTTAATGGTTTATTGGAAATTGCCTTCAAAATTTCTTCATTTCTCAAAAATTCATACCTGTTGGGAAAGCTATTTCATTGGAATAGTCCTTACTCAATTTTAATTCTACATATTATTCAAAAGGCTTTTACTAATTCATTGTCTTCATAACATTACAGGATATATACCTCGGATTCCATTTAAATTTGGTAATACATACAAAGAGGACTGCGATTACTGCATAGATGAATATTTGACAAATAGAAACACTTATGACCAGAAACAGGCAGACCTTCGCCAGCAAATAAATGGCCATCCAAGGCTTACTGCAATATCACACGACCCTGAAGTCAAGGAAAAACTCAACATGTACAGGGATACGCATCCAACAAAAACAATCTTAGTTGGTAGGTCGTTAGCAAGTCAGATACATATATACACAAATTAATATTAGTTGTTCGTTTAACATATTTGATTAAAAGTTCTTTGGTAGTTTCTGTTTAAAATATTATTCATTTTGCCACAGTTTACTATATCAAGCTGGACTTTTGAAAACATTTTTTTGAGTTACCCCCGGTAATATCTGATTAGCTTATCAGTATGTTGACATCTTTGGCACAGAATTGATTAAACAAACAGGATTTTTTTTATAAATAACAATAAAAAAATGTTCCTGATTAGCCTGATAATTGATTTAATAGTCTTAACAAGATTCATTGCTTCATGAATAAAATAACATGAAAATATTCTGAAATTCTGAAAGTCTGAAGTCTGAAATTACCTGTCACTCAGAGTTATTAGTGTCAAACAGATTCAGAACTAAACAGTTATATCTTGATAGTTAACCGTGTGAGTGCATGTGTAATCCAGCAATGTTAACATTCAATTATTTATTGTAAAACACATGAATTTGTAGTAAAAGAAAAAAATAATAATTCATTGATTTCATCTTAAAAAAAGACGTTTTTTTTTTATTACTTTTAGCAAAAACTTATATGAGATATTCTGATTGGTGATAACAGCTTCAGAGATAATAAAAAACTTAACTGTTGTAATTATCTTTCTTTAAGTTTGTGACAAAATAACTTGTCCCTGTTGTCTCAGGATAAGCCCATTATATGTATGTTGAGGTTTAGCATTAAGTTTATTTTGTTACCAACTTGACGTTTCAGAGGATAAGAGAGGACTAACAGAGCCCCCTATTCCTGGTTACCGTGGTTACATCCCAAGAATAAAAGCAACAGAAATGGGTTTGGGCAGTCGTTATAACCAGACGACTAAAAAGGGCCTTGAACTGTTTGTACAGGAGACAGCTGCCAATGCAGCTCGTAGTACAGGCAAACTGCCTCAGTCACTCTCGACGTAAGGCTTCTGTAATCTCTCTCAAAACATATTTCACTTTTTTCATACCATTGGTAATAATAACATGTATAAAGATCTGTGCTAAAAATCAAATCTCATGTTAAAAGGAGAAAATTTCCATGGAAATGTGTTTTTAATGCGATGATTTTGAGAGAAATATGTAGATATATAGGCTTGAAGACAGAGTTTTTTCCAATCAAGATTTTTGATCGTAATTTCATGATTCATTGCTGAACTATAACAGTTCTTTAAGCCCAGTTATTCCTTAACAAAGTCATATTTCTGAATGTTTTAGGGTTTCCCACCAAACTCTGAAGAGTGCACCTCCTAGTTTTAACAGGCGTCTGTATCTCAACGATGGCATGATCCCCAAGTACACAGGATATATACCTCGTAAGTATCAGGAATAAAGCTGCTTTAGAACAAAATGAGATTCAGTAATTTTGTTTACAGAATGTTCTGCCAGTTCTGATACTTATTTCCCCTTTTTTTTGTCCAGAAATATTTGTGAGATATATGTGTACTGTGAAATCATGTATTTTCATCTGGGCTCAGTTTACATTGTTTTTCAAAGAGTCACTATTTCGTGGAAGAAGAGTACCCACGAAATTAACGTAAATAAACCTTCATTGAAAATTGCAGATTTTACAGAACAGTATGTTTGAAATAATCTATAATCATAATACAGATCTGTGCGTTTGATTAAACAATAACGTTTTACGTCAAATAGTTTACGTGATATAGATGGTGATGTATTCGATGTAACAAAGGATACGTTGACAGATGAGATGTGTTTGAGGTATGTGATTGACATTTTGTGTTTATTGCTTTCCAGACCGACGATTTGTGTTTGGAAATACATACGGAGACACAACAAGATCTTTAAATGTATGTAGTCATCCGAGTCAGTCATATGGGGACTTCCTCCGCTCAAAAACCACGCTCTAGTTCCCATAACACCACACGTCATCAGCTGTTATAGAAAGGAAAACACGAAACAATAGACCTTTGACCTCTAACTGTGATATATCATACTCAGTATGGCGTTTTTCTGAGGAGTGCCTGGTATTATATGTTTACCATATATGTGAGTTTATCAGGAACCTGAAGAAAGACAATCTTATATAACCTACAAAATGTCGTCATTGAAAACCTGCTGGACAAATTGCAAGCAGCAACCTGTCTCATTCAAAATGTTGCCCCAGCAAAAGCTGTGTTGTCAAGGATACCAATGATTTGGGTTTCATACTGATACCAAGGTTTGCCGACTTGTTGATCAGATATCTCTGATGAGATGGAACCATATTATCTTTTTCTTTTTTCAAATTGCTGTCATTATAGATGAAATATTTTTTCCAATTTATATTTAGAGATTTCTAACAGTAACCATTTTGAAAAAGTTACTTTGATATTTCCACAATTTACACAATTGGCCTAAATGTTTAAGGGATGATATACAGTAGTAGGCCTAAGGCCTTTAGTACTTGGCCTCTGTCTTTGTGTACAACTTTTTATGTAAGTGTTAAGTCCATAGTGTGTCCACTGCCTAGTATATATATAATTGTTCATGTGGTAAGTTTGGGGACCAAAATGAAAAAAAAAAATGTTCGTTTGTGAGTGTGTGGATGATGTACTATCTTTTCAGTATCTCCACAATCTCAAGATAAGGTCATCCATGACGACCTTGTCCAAGGTCATTGGTTATGATTTCGTCAAAAGTTATGACTAATCATTGAATAATAAATTTGCCGTGATAAAAAAAGTAAATTAAGATATACCATGGGATAGACATTTCAACCTGAAGTGTATATATAAGACCAAATTTGTAAATTAAGTACACCTGTGGTGTAGGATACCAGATATATCAACACTTACCTTCTTATAAGGCAGAATCATTTATATATTTACTAATGTTGCTGTATATAGATGTAGAATTTACTGTATATTTAATAAATGTTAAAATATACAAAAATATCATTTCAGTATTATTTCATATTTTATCAGTGTAGTTATGTGCCTAGAATGATGCAAACTGTCCCTTACGTAATCTACACAATTCTACCCTTAACAATGTTTCCCTTAAATCTCAAGTAATTTGAATTCATAGGAATAAGCACTTTGCTGATTACAAACAGATATTTATTGTCATTTTGGCAAATCTGCTATTGCCTATAACCAATACACCTATTTTACTTTCAACTTTTGGTTAACCTACAAAGCCTTCAGCAGTATTATCTGAAGTTTTAGAAGCTAAACATAATCTACAATTTTACATTATTCTCCATGCAATAAATCAAAACCCATTCTTGAAATGAAATTCCAGGAAAGGATTCAAATGTATAACACAGTACTATTGAACATTAACAAGAAAAACACATCTCACGATCCTCCACAGCAATTCTGTCTATTCATATAACCATGTCACGTATAAAATTATTTTTATACATTTATTTAGAAATTTACCAATAACAGATTTCCAATACAGATTTCAAATATAAGGGTGAAAAATATTAATGGTTGTTTTTATCAACCTGCTTTCGTTTTGTTTTTAATTTTTCTTAACTAATAATTTATTGATAGTTGTACATGTAGAATGTAGTAGTAAATGGCTCAATTAAGTGTTAAATTTTTTTAAGCTTATGTATTCATATTGTGCTGTGCCAACCTAGTTAATGGTATACTGCTTGAAGGAGACAGAAAGGTTTTTATTCTATTTCAGACCATCTGGAGTACTGGGAGACCAGATTCTTTTATGTAGTAGTTTTACATTAAAATGGAGTTGAATCTGAACTGGTTGTGTTAAACAGACTTATAAAAGGGTTGCCCTTAGCTCTCTATGATTGAGGCTCTTGAAAGTAGCCATTTCTTTCTTATGGGTACTACAAAGAAGTCCTTTTTTCCTATAACAGCACTGGTATAGAGGCCCTTAGGCTCTTTATCAATGACTGGGGCGTTGTAAAAAAGTTAGCATTCCAATACACATATCGGGTTTTTCACCAAATATGTCTTTCATATAATTATATAATTATCTATTATATACCATAATCATGAACACACATGTTACACGTAAGGCAGTGATTGTGTTTTTACTAACTGGGCTTGGTGTATGGAAACTCGTACAGTTCTTTAATCAGAGTAAAGGGAAACAACTCTCACGTCAGAACTAGAGGTATTTTTTACCATGTTATTTCAATAAGAAAGTGCATATTCATCGTTTTTGGTTCTTCTGTAGCATTCCCATTAAAGTTATATATAATGATATTCCTTTGAAATTAAAACATTATGATAAAATTCTTTTATGTTTGTGTTTTTCTTTATATCCAACCATTCTAATTTTGACAAACTTAGGTACATATACATCAAATAACATATTCAGAAAAATAACGAAATAAGTCAGGGTAAAAACTGAACATTAGATATAACTAATGTTTTAACTTACTACACCAGTAACTAACGATACATAATTCATTATGTGAAAAAAAAGAAGAAAAAATAAAATTTGAGAGAAACATATTAGAAAATGAAAAACAACAAAAAGACATGATACATATCATGAATTGCTAACAATTTAACAACCAGTATTGAACACCAAACTTAATAGAGTTTATTCCAGCTATATGACCAAAAAACAGACACAATCTTATATACACAAAAAACAGACACTATCTTATATAAACAAAAAACAGACACAATCTTCAATTGATAAAGTGAGATGATTTATTTAGTTGTCAATGATGTAAATATTACAAAGTGTAAATCATTCATGTGATTATGTTCCCTTAACATCTGTTCACTTGTACTCTTAACATCATCCATATCTCTAACATATTAAACTTACTTTTGTACATTATAACATAAAAGATGTCCTCAACCAACACTTGGAAAAATATAAAATTGTCATACACACAGATAATTTGGTAACAGTACAATGATCATGATAAACCACAAAAAAGTGAAAGTGAATCCAAATATCAATGACAATGATTGTTTACTGACATTATGTATTACTGTCTTGTCAACTGATTCAAATTGTGTTACAGAGGTCCAGTATATATGTTGGAATTTTATATCCTAATATAACAGACTGCAAGACCATTAACCCACGCGAGTATGATCTACAGTCCTTACTGGTTAACTAGGGTAACAAAAAGAGTAAGGCCTTCAATCCTCTCTGGTTCACCAATGGTAACACATTCAGTGAAGCCTACAGTCCTCCCAGATTAACTGAGGATACCACACACAGTACAGCCTAATAGTTCTCCCTGGTTAACTGTGGGAAACTCTGTATACAGCCTACAGTCCTCCCTGGTTAACCAAAGATTACACACACAGTACAGTCTACAGTCCTCCCTGGTTAACTGAGGATAACACACACAGTACAGTCTACAGTCCTCCCTGGTTAACTGAGGATAACACACACAGTACAGCATACAGTCCTCCCTGGTTAACCAAGGATAACACACACAGTACAGTCTACAGCCCTCCCTGGTTAACTGAGAATAACACACACAGTACAGTCTACAGTCCTCCCTGCTTAACTGATGATAACACACACAGTACAGCCTACAGTCCTCCCTGGTTAACCAAAGACAACACACAGTACAGCCTAATAGTTCTCCCTGGTTAACCAAGGATAACACACACAGTACAGTCTACAGTCTTCCCTGGTTAACCAAAGACAACACACAGTACAGTCTACAGTCCTCCCTGGTTAACCAAGGATAACACACACAGTACAGTCTACAGTCCTCCCTGGTTAACTGAGGATAACACACACAGTACAGTCTACAGTCCTCCCTGGTTAACCAAAGATAATACACACAGTACAGTCTACAGTCCTCCCTGGTTAACCAAAGACAACACACACAGTATAACCTACAGTCCTCCCTGGTTAACCAAGGATAACACACACAGTACAGCCTACAGTCCTCCCTGGTTAACCAAAGATTACACACACAGTACAGCCTACAGTCCTCCCTGGTTAACCAAAGACAACACACACAGTATAGCCTACAGTCCTCCCTGGTTAACTGAGGATAACACACACAGTACAGTCTACAGTCCTCCCAGATTAACTGAGGATAACACACACAGTAGTCTACAGTCCTCCCTGGTTAACTGAGGATAACACACACAGTATAGCCTACAGTCCTCCCTGGTTAACCAAGGATAACACACACAGTACAGTCTACAGTCCTGCCTGGTTAACTGAGGATAACACACACAGTAGTCTACAGTCCTCCCTGGTTAACTGAGGATAACACACACAGTATAGCCTACAGTCCTCCCTGGTTAACCAAGGATAACACACACAGTACAGTCTACAGTCCTCCCAAATTAACTGAGGATACCTCACACAGTACAGCCTAATAGTTCTGTCTGGTTAACGGTGGGAAACTCTGTATACAGCCTACAGTCCTCCCTGGTTAACCAAGGATAACACACACAGTACAGTCTACAGTCCTGCCTGGTTAACTGAGGATACCACACACAGTATAGCTTACAGTCCTCCCTGGTTAAGCAAGGATAACACACACAGTATAGCCTACAGTCCTCCCTGGTTAACCAAGGATAACACACACAGTATATCCTACAGTCCTCCCTGGTTAACCAAGGATAACAGACACAGTACAGGCTATAGTCAAGTATAACACATACAATACATTCCTCCCTGGTTAACTAAGAGTAACACACATTACAGCCTACAGTTCTACCTGGTTATCCAAGAGTAACACACTTAGTACCACCTACACTCCTACCTGGTTATTTGAGGGAAACTCAACATATGGCTTACAATCCTCCCTGGTTAACTGAGGATAATGCACACAATACAGCCTACCATTCTCCCTGGTTAACTGAGGAAACCTCGGTATACAGCCTACAATCCTCCATCAATAACTGAGGAAAACTCTGTATATGTCCTACAATTTCCCTGGTTAACCAAGGAAAACACACAGAGTACATCCTACATTTCTTCTTGCTTATTCCTTTGTTACACAAAATATGGCCTACAGTCCTCCCTGGTTAACTGAGGATAAAGCACACAATAAAGCCTACAGTCCTCCCTGGTTAACTGAGGGTAACACAGAATATGGCCTACAGTCCTCCCTGGTTAACTGAGGATAAAGCACACAATAAAGCCTACAGTCCTCCCTGGTTAACTGAGGGTAACACAGAATATGGCCTACAGTCCTCCCTGATTATCTGAGGCCCATAGTTTGAATGTTCTGTCATATGACACAGAGGCTATATACTTGCGGTCAGGTGAGATGTCAATTGCCATTACTTTACCCTCATGCCCTGCCAGTGTCTTCAGAGGTGCCCAGGTAGGATGGGCCCAGACCTGGCAACAAAATGGTCGTGATATTATTTTCTTATCTCAAAACAGATGAATACAGAAATGCTGCACTGATTAATCATCATAATACTATTGTCTTACATTGTAAACTCCATTCTGTATTGACAATACTTTTATTCATGCTAAAGCTTTGCCAACCAATCACATTAACCTTGAGACTGTAGCTCCAACCATCCTCATATGTAAATAATGCTTACCTTTGATGTACAGTCATATGAAGATGTAACCAGGTAACTGGACTCTTCAGCTGCATTGTAAAAAAATGAACAAAATCATTAAAGACCTATTCCTACATACTGTCCAAAAACATACAATGATAATCAGGAATACAGCTTACCTGTTCTGGCATGTAACACACCCATTTTATAGATCAATGAACCCTGACCTTACAGACAAACTTACTATGAAAGTTAATTGTATAAATATGTATTTATATTGATATTTAACTTGTTATAGTTTGACATAAGACATGAAACTGGTGTGATCAAGGTGGTATATATATACTTACCTATATCAATGACTTACATTAAAACTTTACAATGGAGAAGAAGTTGGTATGTTGATATTATTATGCTCATTATAGTTAGTTGGCAAGACCATAAGGACACTCTGCCACAAAAGTCAAGAAAGACTGCCACAAAAGTCAAGAAAGACTATGAAAAAAAAGCATTTATTGATTTAAACTTATAGTTACAGTGACCATTGGCCTTTGGACTTGAATCTGTATCTATCTAAAACAAACACTTCTGGTTGAAGAGCATTGCATCAAGTTTGAGTTGAGATTGGCTACGGCAAATTCCAATTATTCCACAAAACAGATTTTCCATTATAGCAACAATAACATCATCCTTTGACTTCTGAGTCTGAAAAGTAATCCCTAGCAAGAACTTTCAGTTAGAAAGCATTGAATGAGTTTGATTGGCCCAAGGGAACCCCAGGTATATCACTGAAACCAATCAAATACTTAGTAACAAGTAACAGTAATCTGGACCATTGACCCTGGGACCTGAGAAGCGATCTAAAGCAAGCCATTTTTGTGAGGAATCATTGCATGATGTATGAGTTTAACTGGCCAAAGCAAACTTGAATTATAGTACAGAAACTGATTTTTCATTTCTATAGGATCAGTGATCTTAACCTTTGACCTTTAAAACTGTAAAGCCATCCCAACACTTTCAGTAAGGAAGTACTGAGTGAAGTTTGGGTTAGATTGGCCAAAGTAAACTCTAGTTTTCACATGGAAACTTATTTTCTATAGCATCAGTGACCTTGACCTTTAACATTGGGAGTTGAAAAGACACATACCCCAAGCAAACAATTCCTTCAAGGAGGCTTGGCATAAAGTTTGAGTGTCATTGGCCATACAGAATTTGAGATACTGTCATATTTGACTTAAGTATGTAATTTTTCCCCTCACTGTAATTTATTTACAAATGACCTGAATTAACTGACTTCATTTCTGTGTCCCAAATTTTGAAAAAACGTTTTTAGTGACTCACTGAAAGTTATCTAGCTCCCATAAATGTAAATATTATTTTGCTTCTCATTCACTTTCACACTATTTTGTAAAGCATGAAACTATCTTGGACTCATTTATTGAATTGTTCCATAAAAATCAGTTATCAACTGAATATATACTTTTTTCTTTTTCCAATTTATTACAAAACAGCCCCATCTACGTAAATCAGTACAATGTAACAGCTTGTCCAGTAAAGCATATGTACAGGTATTACTTCAGCAATAATTTCCTATGCTTGTTTTAATTAGTGACTTACGTTGGAACTTGACCTTAGAGACCAGGTTGGTGTGGGCGGGAATGGTATAGATACACTTGTGTTGGCGGAGATCCCAGATTTTAGCTGTGTTGTCCTCACTGCCTGTTGCAATGTGATAACTGTAAATCAAAATGTACCATAAAGATTTCATTTATTGAAGGTTTCATCTACACATTGAACACTGTAACAACAGTCACATTTAGTTCATACCCATTTTGTTCTATTTTGTAAACAGTGATATCTTGAATATATCCTTTAAAACTGAAACAACAAGGAATGGCTGAGTATATGGGGTAGAAGCCTGGTGGTGTCGGTGATCTCACCACTGTTGAGAATATATAAAATTGTATTAGATAATCCCATCCAAACAGAAGCCAACAGGCCATTTACTTTTGATCAAATGACCTACCCATCCGGAGAGAAATCAACACCCAGCACACTTTTCAAATGACCCTCCATAAACATGATACAGCGCCCAGTACGCAGATCCCAAACTCGTCCAAATCCGTCCATTCCCCTGTAAGATACCTTTTCTGTTATAAAGAAGTGACATTAGGCAAAGTAAACTCCTATCATTGTCCAGATTACTTCATACATATTTATCAAGATAATTCATTTTGAATTTTCCAACAGCAATTAGAATCAGAATGACGAGGAACAAAATCACTTTGATCATTTGGGAAAAAATCCTATAAAGATCGCTCAGATACTGTCTTAAACAAATGTTGTGTAATGGTCATTATGATAAATAGAATTATAGCATAATACACAGTAAATTCAGTATTTTGTAAAGAAATAGCCTACCCAGTGACAGACAGAGCACCATCCCTCTGAAAGGCTATGTCATACACTGCTTTACTGTGCCCCTCCTGGTGAAGAATCTCTTCCTGAGCTTCTAGGTCCCACAGTCTCCAAGAATTGTCAAAACTGTCCAAAAAAATAAACAGAGAGAATGGAAGTCACAACCTTATTTTCTGTATATTTTGCAAGTGGTTAAATTACTAAAAGAATTTTTTCATAAAATGTAGGGTCTGATTTCTCTGCTATGAACGGGATATAATTAACTGGCATGTCTACTCTAATCTAATGTTATAAAGAACTTTGGTTTCATCAAAATTTGTTTGAAGCACTGACAATATATAGCAATTACTAACTGATAGGCAAACACAGGCTGTGGTTATGATATATAATCATGCTCTATAGGATAAGGACGATGTGCATAGTGATAAGATAGACAAAGAAAGAAGGGACATAACTCTTCCAATGCTGAAAGATTGAAGTCTGTATTAGGATATCCTGATAACTAGAGAATGGAGGAAATTATAAAAATGAAATTAAATTTCATTTTGATTTTAATTACATTTAAAAATGAGTCAACAGTCACACAATTGATAATACAAAATCTCCCGTGCAACAAAAATATTTATCGATAAATTTTCTAAATATTTCTTAGAACACATGTACCCCTGATATGACATCTGGTTGGACGATGTGGACACATTAGTTAGGAGTCTGGAATCTATTGTCTATATTAGAGCACGCATTTGGATGGCGATGTTGTTAATATTTTTATCATTTACATTGATTTGCACAATTTGAAACAAGCTGCAGCTTATGTTCTGTGATACAATTCATTGGACACATCTGTATCAATGTCTGAAATCCTTGAGGTAAAAGAAGTGAATGACAGATGAGGACAAACTGAAATTATACAGAATTTGAGTACATTACCAGCATGTTCCAAGGAAGCGTCCAGAGGGATGATAGGCCAGACGTGACACTCTGTAGGGGGCGTGGCCTTCAATATCTGCCATTGGCTCCTCACTAGTAAACATAAGTTAGATTAATATATATATATGTGTAGTGTTATTAAAGGAACATCATGGTAATAACATTATCTTAGGTATAGATTGTACATATTTTATAAATTTACATTTACGTTTCTATACAATCCTGATATTCACAGTACTTTTCCAAGGTCCAGATTGACCTCTTTGGTTCAGGAAACCAGTCCTCTCAAATTTAGTCCTGATAACGTTATGTAATAGTTCTGAAACCAAGGCAGTTCATTTTGTAAACACAACACATGATGGCGATCAGAAAGGACAGCAACAGCAGTGACACAGTACGTGAAATCACATTTTTCAGTTCCAGATTTTGTTATGAATGTGGCAAATGTTATTTGATAACTCAAAGTCAATTCGGAATTTAGAAATAAATGACATTAATTACCGACATTGTTGTGACACATTCAGGCAGGTTTTACCATGATGTCACTTTAATTTGTGTAAGTCACTTTATCCTCATCTATTTACAATTTGTTATGCTTGATAACTTTACTTTGCGGTCCCCTTACCTTTATTAAATTATGTCAATGAATTAAGTCAAGTCTGTGACTTAACACACTACAATATATCGGTGTTCAGTGTTGACAATCTTATGAATCTTATGAATGAAGATTTAATTAATTTTTTAAGGTTTCAAAAGTTCAAAGGTGCATATATATATGTTCATGTAGATGACAAAATTATTGTGTGTTCAACGTTTCCCTGAAATAGGTCTCAGTTTGTATGTATATACATTAAGTCCTGCTTAACATCATGTTCCATTTATCAGGGGAGAATTGGATAAAAAGTGAAAAGTGACATATATAGTTGACACATTTTTTCTACAACACTAAACCCCAAAGTTAAATTTCTGATGTGCCAAAACTGTCTTGTTTCTAACAGAAATTGCTCAAAGACAAGAAATTTGTAATTAGGTTGTTTTTTCCCACAAGAGATTTTCCTTAACTTTTATTTTTTTTTGTTCTTTGAAATATCTAAATTGTTATCATACATTATCGTGAACAATCATATGTCATATTCAAAGTATACACATGGTCAGATTTGTATGTGGAACGGGGAAGCCAAAGTTCAATATTTCAGCAGAAAAGTATGTCTTAAGTATCTTTGGTGTATCTATATCATCTATATTCATATCTATGGAACATAATTACTGCCATCAAATTTCATCAACATGAAACAACAAAAATCAAAGCCATGACATGAATATTCAAAAAAAGTAATCATTATTTTTTTTTTAATTCTTGATTTTTATATTTTCACCGTGTTTCCTCTCGAGTTGTTACAAACCTAACAAGATTCCACAGCTTTACTGATCCATCTTGACCACATGAAGCCATACAGCAGGCTTTTTCATCAAGTGAGATAGTGGCTTGAGGATGGAAAACTATAGCTCCTACGTTACCATTATGTCCTGTGGAAAAGGAGCTTCTGTCTAGTAAAACTGTCACGAATGCAGTCCAACAAAATTACTTAATTTGACAATAAAAATCAATAAAGCAATTATAATTTGAAACCTTTATGGTGAGATAATTTTCAAGAGTCAATCTATCATTCCGTTTCTGGAAAAAATGAACCACATGTATAATTGTTTATTGAATGCTGAAGAAAGAAGAAGAAAAAATAACAACAAAAACATGAATACTATATTTCCTGATATGAACCAATATTGTCGACCCCTCGCTGTCAAATACCTGGTCATAGCCCTTCAACATCAAGGGTGAAGGGGTGCACTTAAAAGGTCATCATGGAAAGTGACTATAAGTCAATACAATTGTGTAGTTATCACATCTGTATAGATTCAGATGTTCCTTATTACATTTTAATATTATTATAATTATATTGAATCCAAAAAAACTATTTCAAGTTTCTGAATACTTTTCAAAAGTCAAAAATATTAGGTGAATCTTAGCATTTTTCACGATATGATCAAGTCACTATCAATATCATATAATATAAACAACATCAGGCTGGCCTGACAAAATTAGTATGCAACTGATCTCTTATTGGGTGTGTATGTATTCAAAATCTCTATCCATGACAAAACCACAGAGAAAAGTTATACATTTACACGCAACGCATGCATCAGTTGTCAATATATAGAAACATTGACCACTTGTATGTATAAAACTTTTCACTGTTGTTTTTTTTCACTGATAGAGTTAGAGATTGTAAATATAAAACAAGCAGGCTTACATTTCAACTTACAGACTAACATTGCGATTAGTAATTTTGACAACCAATACAACTGAGAGGATAATAAGGAACCACTATAAACCTGGTACATCTGTATAGACGTAAGAAAGATGTGACAAATTTACGCAAAAAAAACTTGAAAAAGAAGAAGACCAGTATCTAAGCATTCCGGGACGACCAAAGGTAAGCATCTTCTGCTGGCAAGTAATGTCATATTCTCAAATATATTTATTATAACAGAACCAACTGGTACACTTTCAAACAAATAATCACGTCTAACTTCATGTTGCATAAAGGAATAGAATTTAAGAAGTAAAAGATAGAGATTTGATACTTATAGGTGAAAGAGCATTAGGGATATATGTCACAGACAAGTCCTATATTATGGTCCTGTCTGTTTGTACCTGGGGGAGATAAGTGAAGGATTTTTAGCTAGGTATTTCAATACAACAGAAAAGCAAACTCACCTCTGAGTTGTCTTATCAGCCCACAGTCAGGTATTGACCACAGCTTACAAAGTCCAGACCTGTAGATAATTATAAACAGCTGTATATCTTATTTTTGATAGTAAAGCCAAAGGATTGACACAAACTAGTTAAACATTTAGAACTAAACAAAAGATCTTCTAGAACAAAGCAATGGGTATCCAGTAGGTCAACAAAACATGTCACCTACAGCCTTGCAATCAATAATTCAATATATTTTCTCTTCACAAATAACAACAATTCAATTTTTATTGTGTCTGCATGTTAATTGAATTAAGCACTGAAAGGTTTATATTTTTAATCTGCTGATTTTATCAGTATCCAAAAAGTGGATCAAGGATCCATTATAGAATCACTGATTGAACCTGTAAACAGAATTGTTAAGTGTGCAGATTTATCAACATAATGCCTCTGTTATTCATACCATGAGGATACTGCCAGTATCTTCCCATCTGGACTGAAGTTACAGAAAGACAGCGGACGATTATCTCCAATCTGACTACATTCATTGGATATAGCCTGCAGCATAAAAATATGTTAAACATCTACACATCAATGCTCAGATACAACCATTTCTCTCAAAACTGACCATTATTTAGGGCAAAATTTATATGTGAAACTGTTTATTCAATCACTTTTAAAACTTGTTGTAAGTCACAATTACTGGACGTTTTGTGTCAAAATTATCCCTATCACCAAACATAGAAAAGAAAAAGATCAAACAACACTGCAACATACAGACTTTTGGGTATCTTCAAATCTTTGTATTAACAGTACTATGAACAGATAGTATCATTGTATATTTATGCTTTACTTTACAGCAGAGTGTTACCATTACAAAAATAATAATTTCATCAAACAAAATATTTCAAATCTTTAATCATATTATATACATTGCATTTATCCTCAAATAAGCTCTGGGTGTCAACATATTACTTCTTAGTCAGTCAGAAGGTGGGCTTATTACAGGACAATGAAATAGCACTAGTTTATAAATTATTAAACAACAGTATCTATTAGTGGGTTTGGGCTTTTACCAGGCATGATCTGAAACAGAAGAATAGATATGGTGCATGGTTTTTCACCTGAGAAAACCATTGATACTAAAGATAGTTTATGAACCCTGCAGCTGCTAAAATACTTCTATACTTACACCAACGCGTTTCTGTATATCCTGGGTCTTAGCATTTTTTTGTGTAGTAGGAATAAATTTTGTCTGCCTCTGAACTGCCAGTCTTTTTTTGGCCCTGACATATAGAATAGCATGTATATAATTAAACATGTAGAACATCTGCTTTAGAATTGATGAAAGGTCAGGAACAGGCTACATTCAATTCTGATACATCAAACTGAGATAGAATTATCATCCTGATCTCTAGATAACTAATACATGCCCTTCCATCCATCAGATGCCAAGATTTTATACATCAAATATTTTTATCCCAATGACCTCATACTAATAAGTATAACCTTGAATTTTTGTAAACATGTATCATTTCCTTACCATGTTTTATAAAAGCTATGGGTCATTCACAAATGCAACCAAAATTTTCGTAAAAATGAAAAATTAAACTTGTCTGCACATCTACATATGGTTGATAGTATTGCTATATAGTTTCATTGATTTGAAATTGGTTTTCAATTTAAGGAAAGATCTGGACATGATCTCTCTGTTTTTTTCAATTTGAACTATGGCAACCAAACGAGAACAAATCTTAGCATAATATATAAAAAATATGAATTGTAATGAGACCTGTTACTTAAGTCAAAGTAACCCTACAGTTATAAATGATGCTTATTACAATAGTTCAATTATCATATCCACCAATTCTCATCCTGACATGCTGAATAAGTTCCTAGACTTTAGTCTCCCAAAGTTTGGGGGAAATTAATTACCATCCTTCAGAAACATTTCTAGATCAATTTTCAGCATAACTGTACAATATCTCAATTTTGAACCATCAGAAGCCTCCATTATATTTTAAGAATGATAATTTCAGCAACATCTGATGTGTCAAATTATAGACCTTGACATTTAGTTACACCATTTGATCAAGTTTCATTAAAAACTAAATGTCAGGAGGTGGACTTATTACAGGACAAAAATATAGCATTGGTATAAAATTGAACTGAACAGCATAATTTACATCTTCATGGGTTTAACACAGAGCTTGAGATTTGCCAGGTTTATTTCAAAACCACAGTTTCATAAGTGTATATCTTATATATGAATCCCTTGATGAAGGGAATTTTTTTTTTCATTTTTCATAATCATATTTTACTTCACAGTACAAACACTATTTAGTTAATCTAGGAAATTATAATTATGGTTTCGTACACACATGTGAAAAATTGTTGAATAAGAAGAAAAAAAGCTAACAGTTTTGATCTTAAGTGTGATACACACAGACACATATGGCTGCCAAGGAACAATAACCTTTAAAAGCACAGGTTAATAAACCACAGGGTGCCAGCATTGATATTTAAAAAGAAGTGCTAATAAGCTAAACATAAGTATCTAACAAATGAAAAAGGAAGAATAATGGAGAGGACACTGAAATTATTAACCACTAGACTGATGTCTCAGTGTAATAGGTTTTTTACAGCTCAAGCAAATAATCCTGGTAAAGTTTAAGAGTACATCAATTATATGGCCTTATCTTAGAATAGAATTTAAAAACAAGAGGTCAGTTTATAATAATCACCAAGTGACTTTACCTTGGCACAACATACTCAGTAAATGCACCTTAGCGTGGAATACTTAGTCTCTACCCAATGACATTACCTAAGCATAGAATATTGAGTCAATTCCCAGTGACCTTATCTTGATATGGAATTCTGAGTCACTATCCAGTGACCTTATCTTGATATGGAATTCTGAGTCACTATCCAGTGACCTTATCTTGATATGGAATTCTGAGTCACTATCCAGTGACCTTAAATTGATATGGAATACTGAGTCACTATCCAGTGACCTTACCTTGATATGGAATACTGAGTCACTATCCAGTGACCTTACCTTGATATGGAATACTGAGTCACTATCCAGTGACTTTACCTTGATATGGAATACTGAGTCACTATCCTGTGACCTTAAATTGATATGGAATACTGAGTCACTATCCAGTGACCTTACCTTGATATGGAATACTGAGTCACTATCCAGTGACTTTACCTTGATATGGAATACTGAGTCACTATCCAGTGACTTTACCTTGATATGGAATACTGAGTCACTATCCAGTGACTTTACCTTGATATGGAATACTGAGTCACTATCCAGTGACTTTACCTTGATATGGAATACTGAGTCACTATTGAGTGACCTTATCTTGGTATTGAATACTGAGTCATTATCAAGTAACCTTACCTAGGTATGGAATTCTGAGTCACTATTGAGTGGCCTTACCTTGGTATAGAGTACTGAGCTATCCAGTAGCGAGCCTCCTTCAAACTCTCAGAACCTTCATGGTACCAGGTAATATTTTCCTGTGAAATGATAGTATGCTCAATATATCAACACTATCATATTGTGTTCATATAAAAAATGTGTGTGCCTATTCAAAAATCACAGATCATTGATATCTTGTAACTATCTTACATGAATTTGGATAAATAATCGCCCAAGGTTAATTTTCCACTTTGATCCACTATTTATACTAAACTGAATCTTCTCCAACGGATGCTCTGATCCAAGTTTGAACAAAATCTTATCATTCCTACAGAGGGATTTTGAAGTATTTGCTCAATTTCCCTTTCCTGGTCCTGCTGACACAGAATTCTGGCATTACTACAACAGAAGAGGGATTTTAAAAAGTTGCTCTATTTTCCCTATTAGCCCCAACCCAGGGAGATAAGGCCCACCATTTATACAAAATTGAGTCCCCTTCCTCCTTCAGGCCAAGTGAACTAAAAACTATTGTCCTAACATATTGACTATGGATTTCTTGGTTTAATATCAATAACATCTTATAACAATGAGAAGTTGGTTGAAGATTTTAACAATAGTTCCATAACACTCATTAAAACACACATAATAGCCCTTAATCACAGCATGTCATTGGTCAAATAACTACATTCTACTACTTTTGTTTGAAGGACCCTTTGGTTATGGATGCTCGTGTTAAAAGTGAGTCAAAATCATACATGCTTGCATTCTACTGTCAAGACGATGTGCCATTTGGTCATTTAGAAGCCATTTAAAAGATTAGTTCTACACATTTGATGTTTGTGACTTTGAAAGCTCGACAAGGTCATTCCGTTGAACCAATTTTTTGGCCCTTTATCCAAGCCTTTTTGGCAAATTATCATGACAATGCCCATTTTGGTTAATGAGGAAAATATTGTTTCAATATTGTAGCACAATTTATGTCTGTGATCTTTCAAGTAGCTTACTTTCATCAAGTTGAATAAACTGGGAAGATACCATGGCAATTCGCTTTTGTTTATTATTGAAGATGATTTTGACACATTTGATATTCGTGAACTTAAAGTGGGTCTAGGTCATTTATCTGAACAACTTGATAGCTTTTTGTCCTCGCTTAACATGCTATAGGCAATTTTTCATGACAATGTAACATTTTGTTATTAACAAAAAACAGTTTGAAAATCAACTTTAACTTTAAAAGTTTGTCAAAGTCATTCATCTGAAAACCAAAATGTAAACCTCTCTTCACTCCTGTGTGCATCATGCCCAACATCTTGACTTTGAACCACCAGGTTATTGAGGAGAATTCCTTCAAATGAAAAAGTTGGAAGAAGAATGATGCCAGATAGACAGACGACGCACAACATCCACTTAAGCATGTAAGCCACTCTGAAGCAAAACATGGTAAAGACTTACCTCTGCCTTTTTCTTTTTCAGTTCAATTTCTTCCTTTTTCTTTTGTTTGAGAGCATCCTCACCAATTTGTGAGAGTAATTTCTTTAGTCTCTCCCTTCTGTCTGCTGGGCCCTCTCCAAACAGGCCTACAGTCAAAACCAGTAGCATGATATTTCTCTAATCTTTAGGTCTAGCAATTTGGTATGTAGCTATGGGTTCAGCTGCAAAGCTACAAACATTTCTTTGGTAATGAGGTAATTTGGTAATTGGATGCATAAGAAAGATCTAGATCAGTGGTGGGGTCAATAGGTATATCTATCACTTCTTACTCAACAACAATAATGAATGATGGGTTGGGAGAATCAACCTGTAGACTCAGTGACTTCATGTTTATCATTCCTAATCGACAGTTGACAACCTTGAGGCCAATTGATAATGGATGTTCCCACCCATGTACTAGTCTAGTATCCCAGGAAATTCTTTCATGCCAAGAAATTGTTGATATAATTTATAAGTCAGTGATCTAAATTATGTCCATAATGTGAATAAAAGGACAATAGGGTCATTGGATGGTGCAGTGCAAACCTACTCGTCTTTCACTTTGATGTCTGGGGCTCTTATTCCTGGAGCAGATGTGAAAAAGTATTAAGGGGGTCATCTGCCCGACCACCTTTTCTCATCATACTCTGATTTCTTTCCACAGTAAGACCACTCACCTGCTTCCATCCATGCCAACAAGAGTGATTTCAACAGTATTATGTAGTTTTTTTCGAATTATTTAAAGATAAATAAATTATAAGGACAGTATCCCAAAATGATGGACCTTATACCAACAGCATGATATAAATTATATTACCATGCCCAGAAGTGGCTTAAATGGTTCTGTGGTGTTGATTTCAACCATTTCCATGGACTGAAAAATGGAATTAGTCTTAAATGGCAAAAAAGTAATGGTCTAAACCTTTGTGAAACAAGTCTTACCAAGTTATGTCTTTTCAAGACCTTGATGGAAATTGGTTGAACATAAGGAATTTGACTGTGGGAGAAAGCTTGAGTACCCAGTGAAATCTCTCCTGATCAGGCAAATAATGCCATACCTATATAGATTTGATGGGGCATATAAAGGTGAAAGGCCTGTGTGTTGCAACTGCACCATCTGTCCCCCGATAGGGCAGGATTAGATCTGTGGTAATCCTTAAAGAGTGAGCACTCTTCAATAGACAGGTAAATACATACACATTTATTTTGTTGTAGTTTTAATCTCTAAAGACTGGTAAATACACACATATGTTTATACTGTTGTAGTGTAAAACTCTACAGACAGGTAAATGCACACACATTTTATATTGTTGTAGTTTAAAACTCTACAGACAGGCAAATACACACACATTTTATATTGTTGTAGTTTAAAACTCTACAGACAGGAAAATACACGCATGTTTACATTTTTGTAATTTAAAACTCATTGGTACTTACATATGGGCTCTCCCAGCTGACGAAGACTTGCCTTCACTTCTGCATCATCTGTAGACACATGGATGTGACGAGCCTACAAAACAACATCCAATATGCAGTCTTGTTAACAGTCATTTTAAGAACATTTGTATGAAACAAATCACATTTTTAGTCAAATCCCTTTGCTGAAAAATTTCAAGAAATCTGTTTGATACAAAACAAAAAGAGGAAAAAATAGCTCATGCTTCCTTAATAATGGAAATAGAGATTGTACAAATTTTGAAATGTGTGATATGATTCTGATTATTTTCCCATTAGTTAATTCATTATAGCCATACAACACCTTCTTCCTCCTCTCTAGCTCTGCCAACAATTCTGACTGGTCTACATGATCGCTAATCTCATATCTGGACCCTGTAACAACAAAACAATGGTATAGTAGTTCACTCTAAATGAATTTGATGCATTTTTCCATCCACCCTGATGTCTTCGTATTTTAATGTTGTTTTCCTATTTGCTCTCTGCCCTTAACTTTATCAAATGGAAGGCGCAACAACATTTGCAGAATATGATAAAGGCTCACATTGGAGGCATGCACTCCTGGGAAATACAAGTCAATGTTTTTCTTTTTCCCTAGTAAAAACAAAGTTTTATTTTCTTGTAAGATGATGCTTTGAAACCAATCAGTGGCATTGTTACAAAATGAATGTGAGATAAAATACTGTAAACTTCATATTTCAACAGTTAACTTATTTGAGTACTTTTTAAACTGAAGATATTGTTCCAAGTTATTCACATAGCAGTTATTACCTACCATCATTTATAACAATATTGCCTGCTGCTTTTCCTGCTTCAATTGCATCACTGGCTAAAGACCCTGAAGTCTTAATGTTAGCCAGTCGCTGCCTTTCTTTTTCTTCCAAGCTTCCGTAAACCACAGGTTTTGTTGGTTGAAAGTGTAGGGCAGGTTCTTCATCATCGTCGGACATGTTTGACTTTACTTTTTTTCAGCCTAACAAAAAGTCACTTGTCTATACTTTCAAACCACTTAGCTGATACCTTAATCTCATGTCTTTAATCAATGCAAACCTTTAACAAATATATATAATAAATATATAAAAAATGCATGTTACATAATAGTGATAAATAGGCAGACAAGATTTCTCTCCCTCTTTAGCTTACTTAATATGGCAATGCAGATGTTGAGAGATGTCAAAGGAATATCTTCCATTCTTAAATGATAAGATTGTTGAAAAACTACAGAAAATTACATTCCTTATAAAAAGTCACAAAATTCAGAGCTGAATTAGTTAGATGTCTTTGTACACAATTATCTCTGTTTTGGCAAAATATGATAAAGTTCAGGGAAATGAATTTAACAAATGAAAGCCCCAACTCAAATACTTATGAGTAGAAATTGTGACTTTTAAAAACCAGCTCATTCAAGGCATTCTCATAATATTGCATGAAATGAAGTCATTATATCTAGTTATTCTATTCATGTCCTGGTCATTTTTTTCTATTGCAATAACAAAGACAGAAGAAGAAATCACAGCAGAAATTAAAGTGAACAGCATACACACTTGTGTAAAATCTATGATCAAGTTCAAGATTTGCTGATGCACTATATTAAAACAGTTAAATTTATATCAGCTGGGACTTTCCCCACCGATTTCGCCTGTCCAAACTGACAACTTGAGACATTTTGATGCTGACAATAGTTTTAAAAACAATAAGAATAAGTTCTTAATAGGTACAAAGCAGCAAAAAAATGCAACATGTGTGTAATATCCTTTTAATGTCCTGAAATACATCATCCTAAACATCCATAGCATTTATGTTTTTTCATGTAATTCAGGAGTTGTTGATTTATTTTGACCACTTAATGGTCGTCATCAGGACAACTTAAACAGATTTGATCATGTCTAACATAAAAAAATTGTAGTACAACATAGTAACTGTTGTTTGGTAAACATAACATAACAAATTATAGATAGAAATTATTGTGACATCATAATAAACAATGCTGGACATAATGGAAGTTCGTGTAGTATTCACCGTTATTGAGACAGGTAGCAATACAGCTATTATCGATCTTTGGTTGAATACGACCCCAAAAGACAATCACAATCACATACAAATTGCACAGTTACATATATATAAATTCTTTTCTTCATTGTTAACTTACCTAAAGATATTTTATCATGCGTGTGCTACACGTTTCATGGAAGGCGCCATTATTGTATTAGATAATGTTTGAAAAGGATTTTGAGTAATATCCGGATCACTGAGTTTTACTTCATGTGTATCTATTTTATTTAAATAAAGTGATGTTTTAAGAATTACATATCATAAATGCCATGTTCCTCTTTCGACTAGAACGTGTTCTGGAATGTTGTCGAAAGCAGAAAATACAGTTATAATATTGGAATGGGTTTTTTTATGTTCCGGATTAAGCACTATAACTATTATTATACATAGCATTTCTACATCCGGTTTCTTTTTTCAATATGATGAGAAGGAATCCCACTAGAATTGAGTTAAAACTCGATGACTTTCAGGAGTACACTGAAATGAAGAGGGAAAGGGACGAACAAAATAAACAAAAGCAACTACTTGAACAAATCCAGCCACCTTCAGGCAGTATGGACACTCGAACTCGGACAGAACTGGTTCACGAAAGGATAGGCTACGATCCGAAACCTTTACCACAACCATCACGTTTGCCTATCCATTGACGAAAAAAGTTATATGTGACTGTATATTGAAATGAGTCGTACATGTGGTCGTGTCATCGCTAACGGAGGAATTAAGAAAGTGTTTACTTACAATTTTACAAGTACTGTAAATGTAATCCCGTGCAGCGTGTCGAGAATTGACGAAAAGTCATATCAGGACCGGGAAGTAAACCACGAATGACACGGAACATTAAAGAAATGCATACCAACACAAGCAAGAAATACACACAGTTGAAACAAGCAAAGAAGTGCATATGAGGTTGACATAACTTTTCAACATAAAACGAATTCAAACTGGAAAAAACGGAATCGTATGGTAGTGTTGGTTGTTTTTGCATCTACTACATTGTATTCTTGACCAACAAACCAACTGTTTGAATGTGCAAGCTCGGATCATATATTGATCACAAACTTGTCTCTGGATACCATTCTTCATCATGACCTGATATTCTGGACGCATCTACATTAAATATTTTAATGAACTTCGATATATAATTGACTCTTGTTTGACCATAGAGCAGATACTTTTTATTCCATTTTAAATATTCCAATCATCAATTGTAGTAGGGCTGGTCCATGCCATTGATACCAGGGCTGGAATGCAGCTTATTAATCTAGCATGACTTTGATACTATACTCATTAAGTTTTTTTCAAAAATTGTGATATAACAAGAAAATAATGCAATACTTCAAGAGATGTAATCACTGATTATCAAAATCAGTCCATGATAACAGCCAAATAAATCTTGTGTTTCAAAGTTATCATTTGTTTTTTGTTTGCAATGTGCATTGATGTATTTTTCAAATGTTTTGCAATTGATGCTTACTATATTATATGAAGCTATCGAGTAAAAGTGCATATATATTAATCACTTGTAAAATAACAAATGTCGAACATGCCAAAAGGTCTAAAAAACACTTTGAACAGAAGCCAGCTATGCTTAGGTAACAGTACACAGTTTCTCGGTGTGGCCATGGGTGTTTTTTTGTTTATTAGATTACCCTATTATAAAGGTTTCAATTAAAATTAAAAAAATAAATCCTTACTAAAATTGATCTTGTCATGCTTTTTCAAAATAATATTTTAGCTTTGTGTTAGAGATCACTATTTGGGCAGTCTTGAATCTTTGTCTACACACAAAAAACAGCTTTAAAAGTGAAATTTTCATTAGAATTTGTTGAAATGTAAGTACTTTGTTGCCATGACAGTGTTGTCGATTTTAAGATTGGGTGTTTAGCAATAAATTTCTTCTTGAAAGTTATAGTGTTAGGTTGGAATTAGCAGTATTTTTGCATTTTTAGCATTTTTGCAGTAGGTAACCATGGCAATCAGATGCCAGAAATCAGAGGAAATTTTTTATTTACACAAATTTTATCTTTCTACTATTAATGTAATTGTTATGTAGTTTATTGTGTCACCTGCAGAGCTGGCAGACACTTAGGGATCACTTTGTCCATCGTCACGCGTCGTCGTCTAAATGAAAGCTTTCCAGACTTTTTTCAGTAACGCTTTGAGTTATCAAAATGAAATTTGGCATATTGCTTTTTGTTGCAAGGGTTCAGATTAAGTTTGATTCCCGGCTGTCTCTGATCCTTTTTGGCAGAGTTATGCCCCTTTCAACTTAGAAAATTTCCTGGGAGTATTGTTTTCCGGAATGTTTTTGCTTAAGCTTTGAGTTATCGAAATGAAATTTGGTATATGGCTTCTTGTTGCAAGGGTACAGATTCAGTTCCATTCCCGGCTGTCTGTGACCCTTTTTGGCAGAGTTATGCCCCTTTCAACTTAGAAAATTTCTTAGGAATATTGCTTTGCGCAGTTTTCCCTTTATGCTTCAAGTTATATAAATGAAATTTGGTATTACAACTTTATGGTTGATCATTGCACATCCAGTTCAATTTCTGGGTGACCGTGACACTTTATGCAGGTGACACACATATTGTAAATATATATACATGTAATGATGTATTTTTTATAACCAATCTGCTCTCAATCTGCTATACCTGTATATCTCAAACATGACCAATAATTTCAGGAAAAATGCAAATTAGCCGTTTCCTGCTACCTTAGATGAAATGCTTACAATTGTTTAAACACTTTTTAATAAGAGACACAGGAGGGTTGGTGTGGCCTGTAGTATGCTGGGATGACTTGCTACCAAAGTTCTACTAAAGACTTTGACCCATATTCTAAGACACAGAAGCCTAAAGTATGTTAAGCTTTCAAAGCATAACACACACAATGCCATGACACTGGATCTGTTGATTAAAAGCTTAAAGTAATTAATAATCAAGAGGTCAAAGGTCATGGTATTGGGCATGTAGGATTACCAAGTTCTTCCAAATGACTGACCTATATTCAAGATCACAAATGTCATACGCATTCTCAAACATGTTGAACACAAGGTCATGACTTGGGAGTCTCTGGCTTGCATGATGTAGAGATTCCTGAGTTTAATCTAAAAAATGACTTTGACTTACTTTCATGGTAAGTGATCAAATTTTCGAAAATATTTCAATAGCTAAGAGAAGTCATGTTTCTTTATGCTGGTAAATAGAAACCATGTTTAAAAGAAATCATTTCAAATAGATCAAGTGCCATTCATGATATTTACAAGAATTATGCATATCCATATGTCTCACACAGACCATTTTCACAATTATCATCTGAAAGCAAACTACAAAATGTAGTTGGGAGAGAGGAATCCTTTTCGACAGGATGGTATCCAATATCGGCTTTGGTTGTCATTTTGTGCATTGGTGAGTGAATCTCTTCCGGTCCGGTAATTCCGTTATATGGAGAAACTAAACTAACACAAAACTCAAACAACATTTCTCGCTATTCAGAAATGATAGGTGTAGCAAGACAAAATGTCACAAGTTGCATTCTTTATAGATAAGGAAGATCTAATTTGTGTAAACATTTTCAAATATACCTAACAGGTGTTGTTATCCTTAATTATACTTTACTTGTACAAGTACATGTAGGAATTATTCAGATAAACAACATGGTCGTCATCGTGGGTTTTGAATGTTGAAATACAGGATTGCTCATTCTCATTTTTATGGAAACGGTGGATATTAAATTGGGTCCGGCCGTCTGTCTGTCGTCCGTCCGTGTGCCCATCTGTCTGTCACACATTTTTTTCCGTGTTCTAACTTCCCCAAATATCATCCAGTTTGGGTGAAACTTGGTCAGCAGATGCATCTTGGGGTAATTAAGACTGAGATTGACTATCAGTGTAATCTGTTAATCATTATGCATACTAATGAAGTATCTTTTGATTTCATTGGTCGGTTCATTTCTGTGCTCAAACTTCCCTAAATATAATCCGATTTAGATGAAACTTGGTCAGCAGATGCATATTAGGGCACTTAAGACTGAGTTTAGCAATCAGCATCATCTGTTTATATCTATGCATACTAATTAGGTATCCTTTCATTTCTTTGGTTGGTCAGTTTTTGTGCTCCAACTTTCCTAAATATAATCTGATTTAGATGTAACTTGAAGTCCCACAAATATTATCAGTTTATCATTAAACTTTATCATTCTATTTAGCATTATGGCATGATTACTCCTAACCTCTGAAATATTTACTTACAATATGTTTGGAAAGCGGGGGATATAAATTCCATGAATTTGCTTGTTTTTTTCATAGTCTAACTAATATCACAACATCAGTAATTTCATGAGGTATCCAAACTATTTCCCAAAAGTCATAGAAAATATAATGCAGTTTGAACACGATGACCACCATATGATTTCTGTCAAATTTCGGGATGGTTCTTAGACTTCAGTCTCTCCAGTAGGCTTATTGTGTTTGTGTTAGATGTTTATGGTTATTAGCCTGGTGGTATTTTTTCCTGGATATATATGTTCATATCGACACAAAAGAATGATCTGGCCGGGTGGCGAGGGGGTTGGGGTTAATGTTCACTGCTGAACAATAGTTGTTCTTACATTGTCTTAACTGTCCTTCTATTTCACCAACTATATTAAACCACACAGAGGACATTCAATACATGAAACAACGTCGGTAGCTATTTTACAACTTTGGAAATCAAAACGTTCTCTAGTGTTGTAGCACAGCATTGACTATAAACCTGACTTTTAGTTATTTTTTTCACACCGCTTTTTGAAATGTTGATACAATCTGAAGTATCCAGATTGATGAATCAAAACATGTAGATTAGTTTTGCACGATTTCAGTTAGTTTGAAAAGTCCATTATTGTATTATTCAAATGACAGTTGAAGAATTTTACAAAATTGGTGACGTCCTTGTGTTCCAATAATGGATTCTGTATCCATATGATCCATTCAGTATTTTTTTAAACAAACATAATGATCATACGATGGTGGGTGCCAAGAGTAAGTTCGGAGACCCTGTTTTACCTACTGTTGAGGATGGAGGATTACACATGTATGTAAAAGGTGTGGAAACAATATTTGATAAAAGTTTTTAAAAATTCCAGGAATAATGAAACAAAT